TCGATTTTGACCTTTTATCGATTTTAACCTTTTATCGATTTTAACCTTTTATAGATTTTAACCTCTTATCGATTTTAATAGTTTCATATTTACTATATTTTATCTTCAAATCCGGTATAGTGATCTTTCAAACAAAGTACAGTTACTTAATTTATAAATTTTGACAGTCAGTTCCGCTTTTTGCTGACTTCTCACTACACTGAATCATTTCGGAAATTTTATGTTTTATTTTTTATATGAATATAATGAATTAATATGAATTAATTAGTTAGGGGGATGGGGTCAAGTCGTCCGAATAGATGAAAGCACTCCAGTTTTGAAAGTATTCGATGCAGTACCCGCTGGTGGAAGCAGAGTAAGAGGAAGACCTCAACTCCGTTGGAAGGATCAGGCGGAGAGCGACCTGGCTTCACTTGGTATTTCCAACTGGCGCCGAACAGCGAAAAGAAGAGATGTATGGCGCGCTAATATCGATTCGGCTATAATCGCGTAAGCGGTGTCAACGCAAATAGAGAAGAAGATGAATTAATATTAATATTCTTTTGTACATTTAAAACTCTGAATGAATAGTTGTAACCTCACTTGTTTCCAAGAAAACTAAATGAATGCAAAAAATAAAAATAAATCGTTCTTATCCGTATGGAAAATGTATGAACTTAGATGTAAGGTTTAATCTGCTAAAATCTGCTTTTAGTCTTATATTTTTTTTAGGCTAAAAACAAAGAAAAATATATCAGGCCCTACAGGAAAAAAACTTAGCTTGGTAAACGGTAAAAAGTAAATGGACACCCTAATGTAGACATAAATAAAGAATTCGCCAAATGGTCCGACGTTCATTATACAATTTTCGAAATAGACTTCACACAGGCCAAGGCGAATTTATAGAAGGTGAAGTTGTCACATCATATGATTGCTGGTTCTTCCTTCCATTTTCTGGCAGTTCGAATCTATGATTACACAAACAAAATATACAGGCTTTTTGTTTTTGTATTCCTTCTATTGCTGTGTGTAAATTTACGGTGACTTTTGATAATTCCTACAGGGTATTTAACAGCGTAAAACGTTAATAGACTAATCTGCATATCGAAGCCGTTTAAGATATTGTAGAGGCAGTAGCATGTTTGTATTATTTTTTTAATTTGCATTTTAATATGCAGTTTAAAGTGTGAATAAATAAAGTGTTTTTATAGTAGTTAATTTATGAAAATACAAAGACACACATACACGTACGTATAATATTATATTGTACGAGTTGTTTGCATTGCATACTGCCATTCGGTAGGTCAGGATTCGAGTTCGACCAACCAACCAAAAGTTATAGAAAATTAATTTAAATGTATAAATTTAGTTGAATTTGCGGTCGCCCCTTGGCAGGGAATGACACGCCCTCCGCGTGTATTTCTGACATGAAATAAAAAGCTCATCCTATCCGAATCCATCAGCCGTTCGGAGTCGGCTTAGTATAAACTGTATGTAGGTCCCTCCATTTGTTGGAAAAACATCAAAACTCTGTCGAAAATCGCTTCAGCGGTTGCAAAGCGAATGACAAAATGTGTTGAAGCTGATCGACTTCGCCGGGGCCCGAAATATGGTTGACTGTAGTACCAGATTCCACCAGGAGAAAATTCACCAAGCTGCCTGATTCTTTCCATATCGAAAAACTCACAACCATATCGATCACGTTGTGGTAACGGTGACGATAGTCATGGATCCAATGTTCTTGAGGTGCGTACATTCCGAGGACCAAAAAGCGAATCGGATCACTATGTTCTAGCAGCGAAGATTCACTACCGTCTCTGTGTATCAAAGAACGACTGCAATTACTCTACTTGCAGTGCCAGAAAAAGGGCTGGCAACTTTGCGATCGACCACAACACGTGCGGGGAAGAATGGATATCGAGAGCTGAAAGAGGCCAAAATGCGCGGGTATGATGAGCTTGAGAAGCTTGAGAAGCTGGCCGACAAGTGTAATGCTCGTAAGCTCTACGAAAAGATACGTCGATTTACAGAAGGTTTTAAGACCGGAACATACACATGTAGGAATCAAGGTGGTAATCTGGAGACCGATGTCCAGAGCATACTCGCTGCATGGTGGGAGCACTTCTCCAGCGTGCTGAATGACGGTGAAAGTGCAACTCCCGGATACGGCGAACCCGGAACCCAAATCGATGATGATGGAATAGACGTTCCATTACCGGACTATAACTAAAACAACAAATCGGCTGGGACCGGTGGCTCACCGACCGAGAAAAACAGTCGTCGTATTCCCGACTTGGGTCTCACATCACTGTTGATAGACACCACTTTGAGGCTGTAGATGATTCGTCTATCTAGGGACCAGTTTTAACCACATCTAACGCAGAATCACTTTTCACAACAGTTGGTACTTTGGGCTGAGTAGGCAATTGAAAATCAAAGTCCTCTCTTGACGAACCAATATCAAGTTCTGCTAATCTCTCATCATCCTCGTCCAGCTATATGGTAGAGACGATATCGACATCCGATAAGTCGGTCCTGGAAGTCTTCGAGAAAACAATTTCGTGAACGATTTAATGTCCTTTGCGTATTTGCAACAGCTGGTACCGTAGATGATGGAACGATCAACTGTGCGAGCTATACGATGATATTGGCATAGTCCAGCGTATCAAGAGACAGCGGCTACGCTAGCTAGGTCATGTCAACTGAATGGTTGAAAACTCTTTATCTTTAAAAGCATTTGGCGCAGTACCATCTGGTGGAAGCTGAGGAAGACGAAAGGCTTCCACTCGGTCGAAGGAGCTGATATAGAGCGATCTGGTTTCACTTACCGCCAAACAGTGAAGAGATGAAACGAATGAAGCGCCATTATTGATTCGCCTTTAATCGCGTAAGCAATGCCAACGCCAATGAAGAAGAATTAATAAATAAAAAAAGTTTTCTCTTCAGATTGAAAACCACTTTACTTTTTTCATGGCACAATGATACAGACAATAAAATAAGTAATTAAACAAATAGGTAAATAAAACAAAATATTCATGTGCAATATACAATTATGCGCATATTATTCAAAATGAAAATAGAAGAAAATAAATTGTTCTGCTCCAATTCGATTAATCGACGCTGCGTCACGTCGGGTTGTTGGTGTCGTGACATCACGAAATCGAAGCGCCAAAGTGTAACCGACAGCTCCATGAAAACAAAGCAAAGCAGAGCAGAGCAGAGTTGCACAAACCGAAATAAATGACCGTTAAATCAGCAACTCTGTTGTTTATTTTCAGTTGAAGTAACAACAACACAAAAATATCACGAAATTCCCCATGGTAAGTGCAATAACACTTTAAAACTCATAATACAGCCAGAAGAAGAAGCAGAAGAAGCTTAAGTCACTGCGTTGACTCGACGGTTTTGTAACGTTAATAAATTTTCAACAACAACAACCACTACGACAATTTCAATAGTAAACTCATTACGAACGTGACACATTGGTTTGCTATCACTTGTAAAGGAGTTCAAGGTTATTTGGAATATTTGGAGTAGTCAGCAAAGTCTTCCATCTCAACTTCAAGCACTTGAATCATTTGAAGCGTGTTTTTATGGCGACGGGTGGTACTCAAGTTCATTGCTTACTTTTAGCATTTCAATAATGTAATCAGTGCGATGACTTCTAAGTGGATATTTGACACAGTTTCATGGCTTCAATTGTAGTGGATTGTGGAGTTTTTTGGGAAGGGCATCCATAATTTCGGCTTATGATGATACTTTGGATTAAGCAATTTTCTGACGAAGCCTAGTAGGCTGTTAGATAAGCATTCATAATGATCTCTGCGGGTGAGGGATCCAAAAGGCATGCCAGTCGCAATAGGCGACGTAGCGGACTTTTTTTCCGAGGATTGGGAGCGACTACAAAATTTTCGGTTCAACAACAAGGACAAAATTATATATATATACATAATTGGCGCTTTGTATTTGCTGTAAGCAGCCGCGGTAGCCGAGTGGTTAGCATTGCGTACTGACATTCGGTAGGCTCGAGTTCATATCCCGGTGTCACCAACATCCAAAAGTTATGGAAAATGTATATATATAAAAAATTAAGTTAAATTTTCTAATTGCGGTCGCCCCACGCCAGGGAATGGGATATAGAGCTCTTCATAAAAAACCATCAGCTGTTCGGAGACGGCTGTAGGTCCCTCTAATTGTTGGAAAAACATCAAGACGCAAAACCACAAATTGTAACCGCTTAATCGATTTTTCGGCCGAGCTCCTCCTCCAATTTGTTGTTTTCGTGTTGATGTTTTTTCCAATAGATGGAATCTATAGTTTATTCTAAATCGCCTCCAAAGGCCCAATGGATTTTTATGAGTAGCTTTTATTTCATGTCTGGAAAAACATTAAGAGCGCTTGGACTTTTGATTGTGGATGTTGGTCGAACCAGGATTAGAACCCTGACCTTTCGAATGCCAGTACCCAATGCTAACCATGTGCCTATTGCAGCCGCTAATACGTATACAAAATATGTATGAAAGAAGCTTAAGAAGCAAGCGCTTGATTTTCTCATCCGACAAAAGAACGACTTAAGAGTATAGGAAGCCTGGAGGGAAGTACAAGATTTCTCACAATGCAGATGACTAGCCTCTCTTCGAGAGACCTGAGATATTTTGACTCAATTAAGGTGTGGATCAGACTCAGCTTCCAACTATTCGGTGACGACATCTATAACAGTATGCCCCTAATCAGTATCCGCGTCTTCCTTTCGTTTAAACCCACAACAGTCTATTGACCTTTACTAACTTCACGTAATTTATAATTTTATTTAGTTGCAAAAATTATTAAAAAAGTTTTAAGAAATACGAAATATGATATTTTAAATAAAATTTATATGAATTAAAAAATCTTATTAGTTTTAAAGCAGAATGAAGCTTGCAATCAAATGATTCATTCACCAAATGGGAAAAATTCACTCATCTATACGGCTGGCAACGTTCACTACAAAATTCGCAAACTTGGCCGCACTGAACGCACTTGTCAAACTGATTATTCTACGTCAGTGAATATACATTCAGATTTTTTCACTGTTTTTCACAATCAACTTGCTGCAATCGTTTGCAATTTTTAAATTTCTTGCGAAAAAGCGATAATCGAAAACCACAATTATGTGATAAAATTATAATCTTCGATAGACTTTATGCACTGCAGCAGAATTTGCAGCCGGAAAGGCATTTGATGAAGAAGTAGGATGAGTTGAAAATTCTATGGAATTGGCCAAATCAAAAAAAGAAAAAGTGAAAATAAAAATATTACTTGAAAGTTGTAAATTGGGTTGGTATTGGCTGATTGACTGGTGTGTCATCGGCAACAACGCAGTAAAGGTATAGTGGAGCAACTGTTAAGAAACCTTTACAATTGGAAATTAATAGGAACTATTTGTGTTGTATGTAAATTCCAATAACGAAGTTAAAATTCTATTATGTAGTCGCAGACGATGTTGGCTTATAGTAGGTGGAGGTGAAGGTGGTCTTGCTATTTGGAAAGATACATTCATGTAAGGTCGTCTCTCACACGTATGCATATGCCTTTGATTTGGACGTTTGCAGCGTATCCCCACCGCCACCGCCAATACGAATGACAAGTGGGGGCTAAGAGGAAAAGCAAAAGTAAAATACAATCAACAAGAATTTGCAAAAAAAAAATCAAAACATACATGCTACGCAAGCATTTGTTGTAGACAGACGTTTATAGTATAAAAATATGTGTGTAGCGAAGAAAACGAAACGAAGTAAATAAACAATTGCTCGATTCTGAGCACAAAAGAATTAGATTCACAATAATTGAAAGCACAGACCAAAGCAGTTCGTTGTTCGAGTGAATGCTCGACGTTGTTTGTTATTCGTACCATATGTGAACGTTGCTAAATTATTGCTGAGCTAGCTATTGGAATTATGAGGCAAAAGCGGGGATGTACATATGTATATGTTAATTACATTTATCTCAACACACTTGCTGTATAAGTAACTGTTATAACAACAGTTGACAAAGTAACTTGGAAATTATAAAGAGTAATATATTGTAAAAATATTTCTAAGAAATGCATAAAATTGTTGTCAAGGCCAATAGGACTGAACTACAGCAACGTAATCGAATTAAGGTCTTCTCTTTCTATACACTCCACGCAACAAGTGTTTTGTATAATGTAAATCTGCTAGTAACAGAGTTCAATGCCAATCGATTTTTCTATAAATTTAGTTTTTATTTTTAATAACTTACGTATGTATAGATTTAATGCGTTGACGAGAAAATGAGCAGCTGGCGGGTTAGCAATTTAAAAATACACATACAATTTTAAAACGCGTCAATAATAGATTCGCAATGTTTATTATCCCGGAATAATTTCATTTGTTCGTATTCATATTTATTACTAAATGCATGTCTCTTTACAGGTGAAAAATAATTATATGTAAATCATAAAACAACATACGTCACAATAACGTTCATTAGAATTTAAAATTAACATTGGGAGAAGAAAAATCGAACCACAGCAAAATGGATACAGCCGATGCTTTGATGGAGGAGAAAAAGTTACTGGCGGAGGGGAAATATCGTAATTATATGTCAAATATTGACAAGGCATTGCGCAACTTTGAATATTCAAGTGAGTGGGCTGACCTGATATCGGCGCTTGGAAAGCTTAGTAAGGTAAGTAGATGATTATGGGTTAAAATTCATTTTACGAAATGTCAATTAAAAAATTTTCAAAGCGGAACTTGTAGAAAAACATTTCAATACATCCAACTCTTAACATGCAAGACAGTTTGTGATAAGCATTGAGAGTTTGTTAATAAATAAAAGAAATTCTTTCAGTTGAAATTTTTTACAACTGACTCATATGCAGTTATTAATAAATACGTAGATAAAAACTTGCCATTTGATAGCACTAGGTGTTACTGATGGCCATGTAGTCAATAATTCCTTGTATGACTCCACGCTTTATTGATAATGTTTCACTAAACCATCCTCTTATTTTGTATGAGTAATAACTACACTTAAAGGTAAACATCAGCTGAGAGTTGTTGCATAAATAAAAAAGTGAAAACTCTTGATATATATTTTAAGTATTTTTAGAGTTTCCTGATATATACATATGTAGGTACAATACATAGATACAAGTATGTAAATATGAAAACTTAACACCTCAAAGCGCAGACAAGTTAATTGACATAGATTAAGTGGCAATTACTTGGATTACCGTTATATATTCAACAATATTAAAATATTTTTGTGTCTATAATTCTAAATGATTGTGATGCCCTCTTCACGTGTTGAATTAGAGCAAAAATAATTTTTTTTTTTTTGAAACTTCATTATCATCTTTTACTCTTAATGCATATTTTATCGCCAGCCATGCCTGCACGCGATAAAGCAAAGTATTCCTTTGTTTTCAATAAATATTTGGTGCTTTGTTGCTGATAAGTGGAATGAAAAAACTCTGAGAAGCAAGTAAAAGGTCAAAAAATCACTTTCGAGGAACTCGTAAACACATACATGCACACACATTTGTGTGACGTTGGATAGACCACAAAATACGCATAATACATACATATTTATATTACATGCTGATAAAAAAAAACTGTATGTGCCCTTTTGTTTCCTTCTTTTTAATTTTTATTATATTTTTTTCATTTCTTTTTTTATATTTTCAAACAGCGATAATTGCTTTATAATTGTTGTATAAATCTAAATAGCTGTGCTTATATTATAATTATTGACCTTGCAATTTTTATCGTTCATTTAACTACATCACTTATATATTCCTTTTTTTAATAAATATATGCTTTCTATGCAGGCTATATCCAGTAATACACAGTACCAAGTAATACCGCGTCGTATAAAAATCTCAAAACGTTTGGCGCAATGCATGCATCCTGCACTGCCATCTGGTGTGCATTTAAAAGCGCTGGAAACCTACGATGTAATCTTCAGCAAAACGGGCGCAGAACGTTTGGCACAGGAGCTCTTCATATACAGGTTTGTATAACAAGCCTACCTTTCACTTATTGCTATTTATAGATTGCAATATTCTATAAAAAAAAATTTCGATATCTTCCAGTGCTGGCCTCTTTCCACTACTCGGTTATGCGGCTATGAATGTGCGACCAGCGCTTTTGGGCATTTATGAAACATACTTTGTGCCATTGGGCGATAAATTGCGTCCTGCCCTAAGCGGTTTCCTCAGCGGTGTACTGCCCGGTTATGAGAACGGTTTGGATCATTTTGATCGTACCAATTCACTGCTAACGCAAGTCTGCACCGCCGTCAATCCGACACACTTTTATACAGTACTCTGGGAATGTATGGCCACAAATGCCTCAATACGCTTGCCTGCTGTAACATATTTACTCGAACATTTTAATAAACGTATGAGCATGCAAGAGCAGGTTTTTATAATGGGACACAATCGCGATATTATGATGTCTGGCTTATGCGCTTGCCTCAATGATAGCGTCATTTTAGTACAACGTAATACATTAGAATTTTTACTACTCGGCTTTCCCATGCATACCATATACTTGACCGAATCTGATCTTATAAAATTGGTAACGAATGGTTTGAATACAATTTTACGTCGCGACATGTCGCTGAATAGGCGTTTATATTCCTGGTTGTTAGGTAGCGAAGTGGCAAAGAACTCACCCACTTATGACGCAGTCTCTCTGGATGGTGCCGCACCTGCTGAAACCGAAACGTATTTTGAAAAACACTCGAAACATATTGTAATTAAATCGTTGATATGTACGTTGAAGTTCAGTTTGGAGAGTACGCCAGTGGATTTGAAGCCATATCGTATAATGGTCTCCCTACTGGATAAAGCGGAAATTGGCAGCGCTGTACTCGACCATGTTTTGTGCGACATTATACGCACCATGTCGCTCTCGAGCAGCAGCAATTCGGAGGTGGTGAAATCGGCCAATCTACTCTTTGCCACCTTCGATCCAGCATATATTTGGAGTTTTATGACCAGCATGTATGATAAATCGTGCAAAAAGGTGAGTTAACGATGAGATAAAATGTCAGGATTAAACAAATAATGTCTACAAAGTGTTGTTACTGCTAAAAATCTTCCCAATTAAAATAAAACTTTTCTTACAGTCCAATAAATCGATGCCGCGCTCGCAATCGAGGGCAAAATTGTCACGCAGCATTTCGCACAGCAGCACCGAGACGAGATTTCAATGCGAAGTCGGCTCTGGCGATCCTAATTTGGTGGAAATCTGTTATCTCACTGAATTCCTATTGGAAACCATTTCCTTGGAAATGTACAATGAAACGACACGCATTTATTTGCCAAAAGTATTTTTAGCTATCACACAAATGCTCACCATACATTTGGACAATATTAGTAGTGACGAAATAACAGCTTCGCTGAAGTTATGCATGAAAATTGTATCGCGTGTGCAGCCAATGATTACGTATGTATTTCATTTGAAATAAAAAATTTAAATCTATTTTCATCGTTTGCTTCTTCCCCTCATACAGTAGCCCCATTAAGTTGGTACCACGCACCAATCACGGTTACTACTCGTCCTCTGATGAGAAGAGTGGCGCTGCCAATAAGAGTGTGCTGAAGAATACATCTATTGCACAGGTTTCCAGTGCCTTGTTTGCGCTGGAGAAAAGCAAATCCGATTCCAAATTGAATCATTTTTCTGCTGATGATAGCAATAGCTTGTCACAGCATAGCAGAAATAAAGAAGGTTTCGTACATAGCGCGTACACTGAGCCGCCCATGCGACGTTCCAACTCTAATCAGCATATGGAACGTAAAAGTCCAAAAAAGAAGAAGGCCAAGTCGACTTCAAAGCTTTCGGAGCTAGATAAAGAGGTAAATCAAAGTAACAAAAAAAAAAAACACATTTTTAAGAGTAATTTGTCACTTTCTTCTCACGCCCAACAGATTTGCCCTGACACCGGACAAATTATCGAACCACAATCCTCCTCTGACCTGGACACGCCACTAAGTATTAAAAAATTAAAATCGAAAGCCAAAACGCCGTACATGCGCATACGTACCAGTCCCAAAAAGACACGTCCCAAGGACATTGCACTTAATGGCCCAAAATCGCTAGAGCCGGCATTACTAAAAACTAAAGACGAAACAGATGATCAGCCAAAGAGTGCGCCGGCCATCGATCAGCTAGCAAAAGAACGTGCAGAGGATTTGATTTTCGATTATAACGAAGTAAATGCCAACAACGAAGAAGAATTCTCCATTTTGGAGAAATGTATACGACAATATGAAATTTTCTTCGAACTCTATCTTACACGTCATGTGCTACAGATCAAACGTGCATCAGCGGTGGATGAGGAGAAATGTCGCATTAAAGTCGAAGTTGAACGCGAGCAATCGTTCAGCGTGGAGCATATTTTCGAAAATGAGCAGATCTATGAAGATGTCAGCGCAGAACGGCTGCTGGAAATAGATCGACTCTTTGACACATTACGCGTTAACGTTATGAGTCGCTCAAAACAGCTGCACAGTCTGCTTAACCGTTCGTTGGGACACACCGTCGCCGCCGCCGCCGCCGCCACAGCCACTGACTCGACCACCAGCGAAGCGAGCGATGACGAATCACAAATGGCATGCGATGAAAGAACCGAGCGGCGCATACAAACGCTAATGGATTTGCGTGTGTCGAATAGTTTACGCGGCGCTATAAAACTGGCAGCAAATTTGCTGGTTGAAATGTCAACATTTCCCAATTGCAACAAGAACATTGTTTTGGACAAGAATGAAAAGGAAATACCGAGTTGGTTGAAGGTGCTATGCCTTGTAACGGCGTACACACAAAGCGATAAGGAATTACAAATTGCCGCAATCACAACACTCTTCGATTTAATAAGGTATGTTCATGTGTGATATAAAACTGTTTTAATATATTTTAATTCTACCCTCTCCCATAGCTTACTCAAGTCTCAAATTGAACACACAACCAGTCCCGGCGTCACTTTCGTCGTGATGCTGCCACTACTCAAATTCGGCCACGTCAGTTATATTGAATACAAAACGCGAATTTTCCAGTTGGTCACCTCAGTGCTGTGGAATTATTTGGGCGAAGCCGGCATAGATCCAGCACAGATAACAGCTTTACTTTATCAGCTGCACAATTGCCTGGAGAGCGGTCTGGTGGAAAATATCATTGGCAATCGTATGTATGCGCATAGCATGCACCAGCAATTCGCAGCAGCGGACGCCCTGGCAGCCACCGGGTGGAACGACCAGTATAGCAGTCTTTTGCCGCAAACTTCGTTGCGTAATTATCGCTATGATCGCGCGCGTGATGTACAGTTAGTATGCGCATCGCCTGCGCGTCCCGTGTCGCGCGCTGCAATCGAGCAGCTAAAGGAGAGTGAATCCAAGAGTTTTCGCAAATTTGAACTGCTGTGGCACTTGGGCCGCGACAAGCAACCCTCTAAGGGCTTTGAGAAGACTCTGCTAAAAGTATTGGATACTTTGGCCTTGCCACAATACATGTCTGTACGCACTGGTGTTACCAAGTGGCTTCAGTCTGCATTGCTGCGTGGCGATTTGGCGCGTCTGATTAAACCGTTATATAAAATCTTACTTGGACCCCAAACGAAACGTATTAGCATTATGCATCTGCATTTGCTTGAGCAAGAGCATGGCGAAGAAGGTGCGGGTCAACTCAAAGCGAACGACAAACAGCAAGGCGGCGCGCAGGGCGATAATTCCCTCGAACGCGATGTGTATGCGATCAGCTCGGAATATGGAAACATTAAATATCACATGGACACGACATCCAATAAGAAACGCAGTCCAATACGAAGTTTCCACAAGAAAATTTTCGGCGTAACTTTGAGCAGCAAAAATAAGACATCAAATTTCTTGAGTGACAAAGCGCCGGCACAAGCTATCGCAGCCACAGAAACACCTGACTCAACTATAGGCCTAATCGTAAATCCCTTAGACAATTCACCGGACTTCGATGATGCCGAAGATAATGAGACCGAATGTGAAATGCTTGAAACGACATCGAAAAGTGATGTACATTCCATAACTAAAATCACAGAGGCAATAAATGACAAAGTCGAAGTGCCGCAACAACTAGAGGATGATGTCGCCGAAGAGGAGGACGATGACAAGGACGAGTTGGAGGCACATGACTTCGAGCACGACTACACCGATGACTCAGAGAGCAGCATGTTCGATTCGGAGTCGGAAAATCGTGAAACGAGCGTTGAGAAAGACGACAGCTTGACGATCAGCTCCAGTGCTGGCGCTGTCGCTAATGGCACTCCCGCCACCGTCGGCGGCAATCTCAAGCGCTTTGTAGGTGATTGTGAGCGCGTAACAGAGATGCTTTCACAACATGAGCGCACGAAAAATCGCAAGACATACCGACTAACGCGCGAGAAAACGCCTGGCGACTCTAGCTTGGCTTCAGTCACATCAACAACCGACGAACAGTCTTCACTGGGTCTACATGGTCAACACGACATACTTAATGACTCTGCGCATGCCGCAGATGAGTATTTCAGTGCTACTACTGTCGTCAATGACGACACGATTCCCAAAGAAGCAGAAACGCAAATAAGCCACTCAGCGCCAGTTGATACTCCAAAAGAACTAAAACACAATGATGAGGCCAGCAAGCTTAAACAAAGACGCGGTCATGGCATTTCAAAGTTGCACAAGAAAAAACATACTGCAGGTAAGAAGTCACCAGGCGGTAGCGATAAGAAACGCATGAGCTGTATTTCAAAGACATCCACGGACAGTAACAACAGCTACTCCGGCCTCGGAGGCTCGCAAAGTTTGCAGGAAGAGCCCATCACGTGCAATTCACTACAAAGTGACGACGACGAGGAAGACCTCTATGAATCGCGCTCGCAATCCAATTCGCTCACCACTGCCTCCACCATAAATGTAGAGGATAAACGACGCGCATTGAGCCTGGAAACCAGCCAGAAGCCCAACAGCCAAAAAACAGAATGGCCGCTCACACAAGAAACGCTGGAGAAAAGCAAACAAAACTTGCAAATATTGCGGCAGAATGCAGCTGCACAGCAACATCAACAGAATGGTGATACAGGCAGCAAGCGTTCGTCCATGAAGAGCGGTAACTCGAGCATAAGCGCTTGCGATACAGCTGCGCGCTTGGCCACGGATCAAATGCCTTCCTACTACCAGCACATGCTCATCTATGCAAGTGGCGCTTATGATACCAAACAAACGTTGTACGCATTCCAAACGCTACGCAACATCATCACTTGTGACACGCGCACTTTCCTATGCTTGTCGATCACCACTTCGGTGGCAAGTGGCACGCTGAAGCAGCTTTTGATACGCCATCGCAAGTGCATGCAGGGCAAGGGCTTCACGGGCAGCATCAATAACACGGAATATGCTCAAACTTACCGTGCCTGTATGCACTTGGAGGTGCTGGTGACCATATGTCTTTACTATGCGCGCGGTTTCTTTCACCATGAAGCGCGTTACGCGGATAGCGCCGCCGATGCGCCAACCAACGAGGATGTTATGGGCAATTGTCGCGTGCAATTGGAAAGCGTTGAATTGTTGTCGCTTATATGTGCTGAGTTAATCGATATCGTGCGCGGCATGGGGAAAGGTCTGGCTTTCTATATTGCCGATTTGATGACGCGCTGTAAACTGCAGAAAGTAATTCTACATTGTCTCAACTCATCTGTGAGCATGTTTAGTGGTCAACCGCGTCAGCAACGTCAACGCCCTTCTGATTCGTTACCCGCACGCATATTGAGCTTCAACAATCCACTGGACGATCAATTACATGCCGAATCACTGCAGTTGCAGCTTCTGCGCCTACTCATGTCTGTGATAAAACTTGAATACGAGGTGCAGTTGTTAAAGCAGGAGGGCTCCGGCACGAGCGCAAATAGCGGCTCCAGCGGTAAAGAGGATACCTCTGGCAACATATCGCCCACCCGCCTCTCCATCATTGGCGGTGACTCGAGCGCCACGAATGTCAAATACTTGCCCAACTGTCTAATAAGTCAACAGCCAATGTTTTTGGCAGCAGTGCTCAGCGCTTTGCAGAATGAACAATTGCGTCATTTACATCGGAACTGGACCGATCTGGTCACTGCATCGCTGAATTGCTTTAGTTGTGGTTCTCTTACAAACATCGTAATAAGTGTCGTGCACCAGCTTTGTCATAACATTGATCGCATAGCGAAATTATCGCTCAAGGAGCAGAGCGGCTTTCCTCCCGACTACGTCGTCTCCCAGCTGGAAGCCATCACTATTCTTTGTCATTACTGTCTGCTTGACAATACGCAGCAGACCACGCTCTCTCACCTCTTTAACCAGGCTTACCCACAAACCAGCGTGTCAGCGCAAAGCTCCAACACCGGCCAATTGCTCAATAGCATCGTGCATTCATTTCTGTCAACCGCAGCTGCAGCCGCCGCTACATCACAAACAACAGAAGCGCAGGCACCGCGCAATCCACAACTGCTTGCTGCCCGCAATGCCGTACTCTCACATCTTTCGCGTATCGTCACGAGCGTCGCTGCCGTATGGGATAGCGAACTGGGTCAAGTGCGTCCCGTGAAACAGCAACTAATGGAATTCCTGTCGCCAGTGTCGCTACACCATGGCGTCAATTTCTTAGCTGCCGTGGCAGTTACCTGGCAGGAACGCGGCGAGGCGCACGCCAAGCGCATTAAACCGCTTTCTACGCTCAGCATAACCGAACAGTATCTACGTAACTCTTCGCCGCAGGCATGCGCTGAGCAACTCAGTCTCGTTACGCTCGTCTCTAGCATACGTGTCATGCCTATGGATTCGTTTGTGCAAACATTGCATCAGGTGGTGCGCAATCCACCACCAATACATCGACCCCCAGTGCATCTCACCATCGAGGTCAGCGCGTTGGAATTATTCTACTTCTACATGAAATCAGCGCCTGCGCCACAACTGGGAGATTCTTGGAGCTCTCTGTTGGCACTACTGCGTGACGGTCTCAGTTTGACGCCGCCAGCACAATTTGTGCTGCTCATGTTATTGAATGAATTCGTGCAACGTTGTCCACAAATGCCCTTCCCAGACAAAAAGGATGTACGTGATTTGCATGATGTTACGGCGCGATTGGTCGACTCCCTGTCAAATGTAGCTGGCTCTTGTTTGGAACAAACTACTTGGCTGCGTCGCAATCTAGCTGTCAAAGAGGATATCTCACCGCTCACATCGGAAGGCAGTGTGCGCGATTCCATTGGTGGACAACAGCAGCAGTACGCAGTACAAGCGCAAAGTATTTTAGCTGCAACATTAGCCAACTTGTTGGATGTTGCTTATGGCTCACAAGAGAAGGATAAAGTGGTGAATATTATAACGACATTGTTGTATAACATAACACCATATCTGAAGAATCACACCGCGCGCAATGTGCCCTCATTCTACGCCTGTTCCAGCTTACTAGCCAGTCTCAGCGGGTATCAGTATACACGCAAAGCATGGCGTAAGGATATGCTGGATTTGTTGCTAGATAATTCCTTCTTCCAGTTGGACATCTCATGTCTGTGCTTCTGGAAGCAAATTATGGACAGTCTAATGACATATGACAATACCACATTCCGGGAGTTGATGAGTCGTGTCTCACTCACACAAACTGGTAGTTTAAATATTTTTACGTCACGCGAACAGGAATACGAACAGCGCTCAATGTTACTGAAGCGTTTGGCCTTTGTGATATTCTGTAGTGAATTCGATCAATACCACAAGTATATGCCCGAAATACAAGGTGAGCTCTTCATCAATTTTAATCCCTTATAAAAATGCGAGTGTTTGGCTCTGTTAAATTTACTTTACTTTGCATTTGAACATTATGATAAGTCGCAGCAATATTTTTATTATTCCACTTCTGAAGTTTAGGGCCACCAAACCTTAATCAACACTAATAATATTCCACTTTTGAATTTTGCGATAATCAAGAGTTATTAACACTGAATATATTATATTTCACTTCTGATATTGCTTTTTTGATCTTCACTTCTAATTTTACTTTTTGCTGCTACATTATCCTCCATCAGAACAACTGGCCAACAGCTTACGTCTACTCTCCATGGTACCCTCCGTGCAGGCAGCCGTTTTTCTATGCTTCCGTGTACTTTTGCTGCGTATGTCAGCCGATCATGTCACATCGTTGTGGCCCATAATCATCGCCGAAATGGTGCATGTTTTTCTGGCTATGGAACAAGAGCTCAAATCTGACAGCGAGGATTTGAGGTAAATTAGATTTCTTTTACCTCCAAATAGAATTTTATATGACCATTTTTCTCACACTACCCACAGCCAGCAAATGCGTTTACTCTCAGGCATGGATGTCTCGTGGTCATCGAACTCTTCAAGCAATGGCTTCAGTTCACAAAATCAAGTCACACACTGGCGTTCGGTACAACTGGAAGCGTCCAAATTACTCGAATTGGGTTGCGTATTGCCTGCGACAAATTTACCACATTTCCAAATGTATCGTTGGGCGTTTGTTGGCACCGAATTCGATGTGCACGAAGATGTGCCCATCATGAATGGCAATAGTGATGAACAGACAACAACTGCGACATTACCCACAACGGTTTATGTGCCGCACATACGACGCATCGGGCGACTGATGGACATGAAATATGCAGTGCACTCGCCGGTAAGAGTTGATTACCTAAATAAATGCAATTAAAATTTTAATTTATATGTATTTTTCCACGAACGCAGATCAACAATGTGAAGCGCGGACGTCATCTGATGCTCACTTTTCAGCAAATAAACTCACTACAAGATTTATACGGCTTCTTTTCCACACTCAGCGTCAATTGTCCCAACCCACACAACCATGCGGATATCGATAAAGAGGTCGCCAGCTGTTTAGCCGAAATCGAGGAAGTGCTAGCCAAAGATTTCCTCGAAAAGATGCCGACGAGCACAACGCCTAGGTGAAAATTAGTTACTGCGATACGCGAAGTTGCCGGCGAATTGGAGTCGAGCGGTAGCGCTTTCAGCAGTCGCGTCACAGCGGCTTGTCACTTCAAACTATTGCATTACCATAACCAGCAACAGCAGCAGCAGCATCAGCAAACGCATGCGGAGACGAGCTACACGCTCAGTAGCAATCACAGCACCACAACAACTACAACTAAGAAAAGTAATTTCCCATTCTACGTTTGAGTAATGTAAAGGAGGCCAGCAGCGGAGAGAGATTTTTTCAAGTGGTAAAAAGTGGAATGAGAAAATGCAGAAATGTATTATAAAAAAGAAAAACTGAAAACGGACTACAATTTTATGAATTTTAAGCTAAATGGCTATTAAAAAGCGAAAAAGAAAATTAAGTTAATTTAAACTACCAATATTATGCTCTGTATTTATATAATTAATTACTATTAGCTAATACGCAAGAAAGGAACGGAAAAAGCAAAAAAAGAAGGAAAATTGCATCTTATGCGTGCGCTGCATTATTACGATATATACTTATACATACCTACATACACAAAAAAACATGCATACATATTATATAATATACACAAATACATATAAATATATTATGCAAGAAAAAAAAAATACATACATACATACGTATAATGTTGATTCGAGTTTTTGCTCAGAAGTGTAAAATGAGTTGGAAGTGCTAAAGTAAAAACATCTTAATAATTGAAGAGAATAGAAAAAAGAAATCTACATAAACACACAAGCACATTATGTATGTACATATATGTAATAATGATTTCGATAATGATAAATGTAATGATGACGGTGATGATGTTTAAATGAAACGTGTACAATAAAGTAGCTGAAAGGCGGCTGATGTTAACAATGTTGGTGTTGGTGATGTTTGCTAAATGGCAAATACATACATACGTATATTCATATATGAGCATGCAATTATAAACCATTTCTCCACACCCATTGCGCCATCAACTGTCACTGTGTGCAATTATGTTTGTTAAATATATGTATATAAATGCATTTTCATTTTGCCATCAGCCGGGGGGTTGGTACTGCTGCATGGAGCATTGCCTCAAATGTGTATGTGAGAATAGTTGACCCCTGTATGCATAGCTTAACCTCTCGTCATGTACAATTAAAACAATTCATACCAAGCCAGACATAGGCGAATGCGTAGGCGTAGAATTATTTAAATGCAATTAGAATTTAAATTTTATTAAATGCTAAATTAATTCCATAAAGAGTCGAGAGAGTAAGAAATAAATTTGAATATAAACAAAAAAAATGCAAGAACTTCATAACAGTAAACTCTATTTTAGCAGTATAAAAACCCTACAGTAGCTCAATGTATCTCGGTGGAAAAGGATTTTGGGCTTAATCAAACAAAAACTGGCTTTTGAGTCGATTAGAAGAATTACAGATTCGATTTTAAAGTTCCAGTAATTAAAAATGAATACTTAGAGGTTTGCGGTTGCATAAGTCATGGTCTCTAAAATCTCTGAAAGATCGGTTGACCACTTATTTGATGTTAAGAAAAATATTTTCGTCACGTAAGCCAGAAAAAAAGCCCCTTAGGTCCTGGCTTTCAAGAATGTACTGAGGCTCATCGACTTCAGGCGAGTCCTAAATGTGATTTCCTGTTGACTTGATGCCTCCAGATAGGTGCACCATAAGGTCGGATCAATATGTTTTCATGACTACAACTCTTAAGAGGCATTTCAAACAGAGACAGAACAGATTTTACACGATTAAAAATACAATATTCGAATTGGAAAAAACCACGGTGAAACTTGAAAACGAGGATATTGACCTAAAAAGATTCGGAGACACATTGAAAATTTAAAGAATGCTAGTCTAAGGAGCAGGAAAGATCTACAAGCCCATGGCCTACCTGCTCTGCTATTAAATTAGAGCGTAGAAGAAATGAAAGCGCTTCTAGGCAAAATATGATCGAATGAAATGTGCCTAGTCCATAAGGGCAAACCCAAAATCAACTCGACCTTTTGCAGATTGAGTATTCATATAATATAATATAACACCTATGGACGGCTTCAGACTTGATAAATTCACAATGGACCAGATATTCATTAACCAAGGATATACTGTCTCCTGCAACAAATTCATGTCTGATAGTTTTCCGATCCATTCTCGGCCGAGCTCCTCCTCCAATTTGTGGTGTGCGTCTCGTTGTATTTCCAATAAATGGAGGCACCTTCAGTTTCAACTAAGTCGCCTCCGAAAAACTGATGATTTTCTATAAGAAGCCTTGATTTATTGTCAAAAAATCGAAGGGCTTTGTATTGCCTGTCACGGGACGAACGCATTCAAAAAATTTTTTCAATTAGTTTTCAATAATTTTTAGATGTTGGTTCAACCAGGCCTCAAACCCTCGTTTTCCGAATGGTAGTACGCACTGCTAACCACTCGGCTATTTTTACGATAGGTTATATTGGCTAGCTGTTATGCAGTGACCTTTTGGTGAATGCTAATGGTATTAACACTTCCTCTAGTCCTCAGAAAACGGAAGCTCCTCGATGTATTCTAAATATGGGCAGAGAGAAGAGAAGATGCTCCAACGTTTCACTTGCCTGCTTTCCAACGCCTCGTATATGTGTCACTGCTATTAAAGAGTGATGTCACTAGGTTGTGTCCTACAACAGTACAGCCGTCATTCCGAGTATGCAGGTTAGGTTTTCTTGTGTTTCGCATTGAGGCATTCCAACTCATTATGATTCGTATTCCAGCTCTTTTGGAAATTTCTCTAAACACAGTTTTCATTGCCTTTCCATATTTTGTGTACTGATGCGGTCACCAGCCGGATGGCACTTTGGCAATCTCGTCAACTATTTCATATCCACAATGCCTTTGTGACTTGGAACTGCTTCCCTGCAGCCTCCTTTTCTAGTGCATTGTCACTTGGCTATCAACGTATGTGCTGCAATATTCATGTGGTTTCCTAACGTGTTAGCTAGACCTCCATCTGCAAATAGCTGCAGTTATCAGGAAACTAGATTAAATAGTTGCCTGAGAGCCAGCTCAGCGCAATAGCTTACCGCACTTCTGCCACTGGCCATTTTTTGATCCATCCATGTAGCTATTTTAAATCCCAATGTGTCGGCCGCTTCTTCTTCTTTTGTCGTAGATAAAGCATGGTCGTTTGTATGGTCTATTGTGTCTACTATTCTCTTGCTTGGACGGAGTGCAATAGCTCGAATAGCTCTGGCATAAAATTGACCTAACGCCAACGATTCCGGTGGATTTCCCTACCATGATTTCCATAGCATTGTCGGTACATGTCAGCTGATGTATTCCCGTTCTACGGCTTTCCATATGAAATTTTCCAAGACACTATAGAGTAAGGTTGGCTTTGCCATCGTTCTGAATCACATAAGTTTTATGTAGTGACCTGCAACTTCTTACATGCGTTAAGGGCACTAATGTCCGTCTCCCTCCTTCTCGACATTATCCTACTACAACAGCTCGTTGTCCAAAATTACTCTAGAGATACCGCGAGTGTTTTCCTTAGAGAACGTTAACAATATACGAGTGCAATATAACTCAAATTTGCGGGCTGCTAGGATGCCGATGTTAAACTCTCGTTCTCAGTATTCTAAAGCTTCAAGGAATCTAAGCGGACACTTTGTCTTCAAATTCTAAGAAACTCACACTTCTAACCGTCCAAGGCTGTATATTCTATCTACTGCTCGTTTCCTGAGTTTCATGTACGATATTGTTGTTGTAAGAGCTAACCTAACACTGAGAAGATGATGACTTCTATTGTCTAAACTTGAGTTCTAGACGTGTAATAAAATTTAGACCTCGATAAAATCTGTTTTAGTCTTTTTAGTCTCGCTTTTATTGTCAACTTTTTATTATTATAAATACGAGTACATATGTGATAGTAAAAAAAGTGTCGTCTTTACTTTACATCCAACCAAAGTGTAACCGATATGATCGTGTCTCAAATGACGAAAACAAACATCTTCTGGTTAGTAAATCTGTATGTGCATGAACACATGAAAAACACTAATAAGGCTTCCAGCAAGCCGAGGAACAGCATTTAATTTATACTTTAGCTTATCTTCCCCACTCACAAGCGTTTTGAGCATAAGATAATCGAGAAGGTGATTTCATCGCGCTCGCAAATGAAGGTTAACCGCCGATGAAGTCACAACAAACACCCTGTAAACAGTTTGAAAATAATTTGCATAATGAATCAGCTAAGAAAACTAAGAAAGCGCTGAACTGAACTTCGCATTAACGAATGCACCAGCTGCGAGCGCATTTCTCAGAGAAAGCTTCTCAGAGCATATAAGAGAGCAGATATGAAGGGAGTGGTAATGATGTAAGGGACCTTATGCGTCTAAGCCACTGCAAGTTAGTTGTAAGCGTTCAATAATAAATAATTAATTGTAACTGATTAACAGTTATTTGATTGTCTTTACTGCTATTTTTTGCAGACTTCGAAGTCGTAACTTGCTGAATTCTCGAATTCTATATATAATTTCCATATATTAACATACAAAATGTTTTGTTTATAACTAAAGGTGCTTTAAATTTACAAAAATAACAAAGTTAGCGACCATAATTTTATATTTACATATTTTTGCCACAACAACAAATAAATAAATGAAGGAAGAGCAACATAGGATCTTTGAAAATTTAAGTTAGGTTAGGTTCGAGAGTGCCATAGGTAAAAAAGGAAATACTTCAAAATATCTTTTTGGGAAGACTATGAAACGTCTTTTAGAACCCAAGAGTACTGAGTTTGTGGAGAGAACACCTCTGCAGTCTGCTGAATAGCAGCCAAAATGAAAGAAGCCTACCGAATTCCCTATCAAAGACGGATGGACATTCTATTACACTACCATGAAGAAGTTCGAACAACAATTGCCCACCTAGAGAACAACAAATTGAGGGAAGTCGCTGCTGTTGAGCCGTTCAGATATGAGGGCGAAATACTGACAAAATGCGGCCGCAAGTTTGTTTGCAAAATATAGGCGGATTAAAGCCTGCCTGGCAATTGGAACATGTGTGCGCTCCGCCCAATCCACAAAAAATTGGATAGCTCAATGTGCGCTAATTATCATTGGTGAAATCTTCTCAACATCGTCTATGCTAAGCTATCGATCGTATTAATTGAAATAATCCACCGTCAACGAACTGATTGGACCTTACCAACGTAGCTTCAAACCTAGTGAATTTTTCATTGACCAGACATTCATCATGCGCCAAGTCTTGGGAAAGTTTTGTGAAAAGGATTGGACTTACACTACTCTTCATTGATTTTAAAAGACCTTGAACAGCAAGTCACGATGTCTGAAGTTGGTGGAACCACAAAAACTATACGGCTGTGATAACTGATGCTGAGCAACACCTAAAGTATGTCAAAGCATCTCTCTGAGCAATTCGACACTAAAAGAGTTTCAAACAAGGCGACTTCCATTAGCTTCACTATGGTTATCCTGACCCAATAAAGAAGCGAAGCATGTGGTTTTAGCATTGAACGAGGGCAAGACGAAATATCTTCCGTCATCAAACAGTCACAATCAAACAGACTCGACTCCCACGACCTTGTAGATCATTTCGTTTATCTTCGAACCAGAGAAGGAGCTGTTTCGATGGGTCAAGAAGGAAAGTGGGATTTAGATGAGAAAATTTAAGTGGCCTTGCAAAGAGGTGGTCAGTAACGTATCGGCCTCATTGCAAGCCGGACATACATTGGATATCTCGGGTCAAGTCCGGATAGGTAGGAATGAGGTCGAATAAAATATACAGATCTTAATTAAGCCAGTATTTCTCGGGTCTCTTCGAGGCAGCTCGAGCTCTTCTCCTACTTGGAAGAGAGTTCATGAAGATTTTGACGGACTGTCAGTGAATGACGTTTAAAGCTTGTCGGTATTGGAATATTTTAGTTATCTTTTCCTAATGTGTCTGGGTGGGGGTTCAGATTTAAGTAAATGTTCGTTGGCAGCTCCCGACGGAAGCATCCTAGCATAGCATTATGTTCCTTAACTCGTAGCATAGATGTTTCACCGTACAAGTGATGCTTCGGTGCCATCAGGGGGATTACTCTGACGTCAAAACGGAGCAAGCCAGCGACTTTCAAATCGAGTTCGAGTCGGTACTGTTGTTACTGTAACCGCAAAATATTCCCACTGCCGCGGGAACTATTGGATTTTAGTCGCCTCTTACATCAGTTATGCTTTAAGACGGATAAATTCTAGAGCTCCTTCGTCCGGGTCCGGGTAATGAAAATGGTAGCAGAGGATTCGCAGATTGCTTTCAAACATAAGTTATCAACATCGAGTAGTCGTTGACATATGAAATCAATAAAGCGCCCTGGTGGAGGAAGGAGCTTCCATTCTACGAAACCCCTTTTTAAGTTTTACGAATCCCTTCAACACCGATGTCAACATGGAATCTTCAGTGTCTGATAGTAGCTCGCTGGCCAAAAACTCAGCATAGTTAAATAATCAATATCATTACACAAATAACACAGTGATGAGCACAGAGTTCGAATTAATAACTCATTTCGAGGCACCCTATACAACTTTGTTGAGAACCCCTTCGTGTGATCGCGCAATCATGCTACACGTAGAGAGAGTGCCCAACGTAAGCAGCAGAGCTCCCATGCTGAGCGCAAAGATGAAAAGTATGACATTGCTTCGTGCACACAAGCTCACAAGCATCAAATTCACATCCAACAACCAGCTCAACGAACGCATTCGAACGGCATTCGAACGGCTCAGACGACAGTCTCAATTGTGAAGTTGATCGCGTACGGATCGTTTATAAGAATTTTGTGCGGCAAACTGGCGTAACAGAGTCACATACGTGGAATTCTAAAGAATTTTGCAAAAAAAAAAAAACAATCTTTTTGTTCTACAAACACACACACACACACATATATATATATATAGTGTATATACTTCCATACAGTGAAAACCAGTTTGTAAACAGAGGCGCGAAGATGGCTAAATACACTACAGACAAAGCGTTATTCAATGTCAGCCTGCGTAATGCCTGCTTGGGCATATCGATATTCTTTCTGGTCATGCTGGTGCTGGGCGTCATTGCGCGACCGAGTTGTAAGTGAAAATGAAAATGAAAAAAAAATGAAAATAAAAAAAAAATAAAAATAAAAAAAAAATAAAAATAAAAAAAATTTAAATTAAAATAATAATAATAATGAAATCGAAGCCGGGAGAAATGTTGGAAAATAAACATAAAACAAGCAAAAATGCATGAATAAATCGTAGAAATTTCCATATTTTTCTTTGAACAAAATTGTTGCTGCTGAAATGTTGAATGAGATTAGAAGAAACTAAGAAAAACTCAAAACTGTTATTTTTTCTTCAAACTAACAAACTATTCACCCCTCGATTCCTTCCGCATTGTGCAATTAGTGGTTGGAAAAATTCACACAAAAAAAAAAACAAAAAAAAAAAACAAAAAAAAAAAACAAAAAAAAGCATCTGTCGATGGCGTACACTGAATCATGGGCGCTTTCCTGCATCAACTGTTTTTTGAATTTATATGCGATTGTGCTTTCATGGTATTTTCTTGTTTTCTTTCTCGATTCTTTGTGGGTGTATTTCATATAGAATTTCTCAACTTTTTTTAAATGCTCTAAAAATCATGTTTTCTCATTTTTTTTTTTAGCTTTGCTGCCAACTCACACTCGCACACATTGCTTTTTTGTTTACTGCCACCGTTTGCCACTTGTTGACATCATTTTTTCACTTTTTTTTAAACGTCCATGAGTAATTTCATGGCGCATTTTGTCTTTGTGTGACCCACATGTCCGTTCCCAAAGTATTACTGAGATTGATTTTGTAAAAATTGTGAAAATCGATTTTCACAGGTCTCTCTTGAGGAGCATTCTTCACCAGCCAAATCATTTGCCATACACAGAAACACATGGTAACCACTAAGTGCAAGGTCCGGACTAAAAAGTGGATGCGCAAGAACCTCCCAACTAAGCTGTGGTTGCTTCTGGCGCGCCACTATCGATGTGTGTGATCTGGAGTTGTTCTGATGAAACACAATTCCCAACCTGTTGGCCAAAACTGGGAAATTGCTTTCTTTAGACGATCCAATTGCTGACTGCACAAGTTCGTAGGAGAGCAGCTCATAGTAGATGATTCTTTGCCAATCCCACAAAACACACAACAAAACCTTCCTGAACTTGGAGACCGTTTTTGCCGGTTCTCTGTTCTTCGACTAAGAGTGTTTCCGTTTGGTTTGACGTTGCTGTAGCTCAAATCGATCACTTGAGAAATGGGTTTTGGTTTATGTTGTTTTTTCTCGTTGGCTCATGTGCGCGCTTGAAAATTTACCGAGAAGCATCTTGGATAACATAACCTAACCAGCGTAGCTGATAATTCTTAATTCGGTAGTCTCTATCAATGTCGTCGTATACCTTATACAACTCATCTTTCCATCGTTCAAGGAACTCGCCGCCAATTGTACGCAATAGTTCATAGATCTCTCGCAAAATGTTTTTCTCGAAAACTTCTAGTGCCGACTCAACACATTTCGACATCATTCATCCACGCATTCTGTAGAATTAAGTCTGCTTGACGAGAGAGTAATTTACTTTTCAATTTTTCCGGTTTACCTGCTGTAGGTCCTTCATTTGCACTGCAATCAATCAAGCTGGCGAAGTATCACCATTGTCTCAGTATGCCCCAAACAACGGTCTTGAGATCACCTCTTTGGATTCTACATGAGTTTGCTTCCGTCTCGCAACCTTCTCTCTTGTCGGCGGTTCCCTCTTCAATTCTTGGTATCGCCCGACCTCGTAAGGTAGTCTTTTTCTCTCCACTGCGGTGCGACAATTCTACTAGGACTGCATTCGCCTTTGTCAAATGTTAATAATTTCGTTTGCAAGTCCACGAAATGTGCGCATATCTAGAATCCTTTTCCATGTATCACAACACAAGGGATTTGGTAGGGCGATTTTCGATACGGAGACAACCAGCCCAGTAGGCAATCATAAGGCGGAAACCGTCTAAGTCGAGCCATATTTCAGATTTTCTTAGCATTTTTTTTAATCATAATTTATTTTTGCTGACTAAACATTTTTTGGTTTAATTTCAGATTTGCACAGCAGCTCTTCGCTCATCGGTTTTATCATCGAACTGCTCGCCAATTTGGCTTTGTTGTTTGGTGTTTTGTGGGTGCGCACATAATTTTTTTCACCCAAATTTATTGTTTAAAAAATACAACTTTTTAATTATTTTTTTTTCAGAGTAATCCATGGCTGGTGGCTGCATGGCTTGTGGTCGCCGTTCTTTTCTTCATTCACTGGCCAATCGCCGTTTTGGGTGTAATTTTCAATTATGGCGATTATCGTGCTGCTGCATTTTTCGATAATGTTTTCCTTATACTCTTCGAATATATATTGGCGTTGGGTAAATATAATTTTCTTTATTTTACATACACATCTACATATACAAATTTTATATGAAAAATTGAAGTTTTGGTTGAAAAAAAATATATATTTTTTTTACTTAAAAAAGCAAATATTTTTTTATATAACATAAAATAAAGGTATTTTTCTTTTAATATAAAAAAAGAAATATATACACGTATGTATGTATATAATAATATATTTTTTTAATATCAAATGAAAGCAAACATTTTTTTATATAAAAAATTAAAAATATTAAAAAAAAGTGGAAATGATTTTTTATATAATAAAAAAAGAATTATTATTATTTTTTTAATATAAAAAAAAAATAAAAATATAAATTAATTAAAAATATAAAAGCTAAACAAATTTGTATAAAAAAATATTTTTAATAAAAAAATTATTTTTAATAAAAAAATTATTTCTAATATAAAGAAATATAATTATTTTTCGTGTGTGTATAATATAAAAATATTTTTTAATATTAAAAATACAAAATAGTTTTTAATAAAACATAATAGAAACTATGTTTTATTAAAAAATAATAAAAATATGTTCGTGTACAAAAAAAGAAAAATATATAAGATAAAAAAAAATATTTGTAATAAAAAAATAATTTTTAATACAAAAATAATAAAATTCGTATTATTATTCATATGTGTAAAATTTTAATATAAAAATATACAAATATTTTTTAATATAAAAAATCCAATTAAAAAAAATAAACTATTATAAATTGTATAGTTATTTTCAAATACATGGAATTTTTTATATAAAAAAAATATTTGTATATTTGAAATTAAAAAATATTTGTATTTTTTTTAAATATTCTGAGTTTTTTATAATAAAATTATACATATATACATAATTTTATTTTTTTCTATATTAAAAATTGTTTTTTTTATTAAAAAAAAAAATTTTGAATATATTTTCTTTTATTTTTTATTTATTGAATTTTTTGTATTCGAAAATATTTTTAACATTTTTTTTTTAATAAAAAACATTTTTTTAATAAAAAAATTAAAAATATTCTTTAGTAAAGATAAAAAAATTAATATGAAAGTTGCTCTATTTTTCTATAAAAATATAAAAATAAAGTTTGAAAAAATAAATTTAAAATATTTTTTAGTTAAAAATTTGTATAAAAATATTAAAAAAAAATTTGTTGATATAAAAAATAAAGTTATTTTTTTAATAAAAAAGAGAAAAACTTATTAAATAAAGAAAACATATTTTTAATAAAAAAAACAAACAAAAACATTTTTTATAAAAAAAATAGAAATGTTTTTGTATTAAAAAATTAATATATTTTGAATATAAATAATACAAAAATTTTTTATAAAAAAATTAGATATGTTTTTATATTTAAAAACTAATATATTTTTAATATAAGAAATAAATATATTTTTTAATAAAAAAAATTTAAGCAATTTTTAATATAAAAATATAAACTTTTTTAATATAATTAAAAAAAGTTGAATAAAAAAAATCGCTATATTTTTAGTATTTATAAAAATTTTAAAATAATATTTAATAAAAAATAACATTTTTAATGAAAAAAAATTAATAAATAAATAGAAATATAATTTTGTAATTAATCTTATTCCTCTTTTCTTCTATCATTTCTTCTTTCTTTGCAGTCATTTTCGGCTACTGCTCATATCTAGTCTACTCGTATTTCCATCAATTGCGGAACAGTCAGTCGGCTACACCACACGGCGTTGTAGTTTAAATATGTACTTATACAGACGTACTACATATGATGTACATACAAACATGCTGAGTACAAAATTTAAAACGCCAAAATAATTTTTTTTCCTCTTAATCTACAAAATACATACATTTTATGTGTGCATTTTTTTTTTTTTAACTATTATACAGTTAATAAGCATTTTTATCATTTACGCGAATTTGTATGTATTATATGTACATACATATGTACATATATGTATATGCAAAAGAGTGTAAAGTTTGTTACTATAATTATTTTTTTAATACTCTAAACAAGAAAAAAATTATTAATGAAAAAAGTAACTGAGATAAATTTAAAAAAAAAATTTAAAAAAATATAAAAAAAATTAAATAAAAATATTAAAAAAATACCATTGCTTATTTTTTTAAGTGAAATTGAATCAAGGAGCATTGTACAAATTTACTTATATATATGTATGTATTTCCTTATTTCAATTTTTTAATATGTGATACGTACATATATATGCATGTATATACATACATACATATGAGACTGCATGGATGATTAGCCGTTAATTTAACTCGCTCAATTAATATGTTAATTCTTCAAAACTTTGGAAGATTCCATCGTAGACAGTCATTTCGGTTATTCTTTTTTTTTACTACACATACATATTTATTTATATTTAATTTTTGTTTTTGTTTCTGCATTTGTAATTAGAAATAAGCACACATAACACACACTCAAATTCAAAAAATTCCAGTTTTTTTATGTTTACAATTTTTGGTTTGTTGCTCACATACACACACACATACAGCCATATGTATGTACATAAATGGTAGCTCAAAAAGGTGGGCGCGCCACAAAAACACATGTGATGACAACATTTTCGGCCAGTGGATTCTGTCATCACTAACATTAAAAATTGCTTAGATCAGAGCCAAGTGCAGAGCACAAATAAAACACATTTTAGATGATAAAATGCATATTTTTAAAAGTTGCAATTTTAGCTGAGCACCATATTCTCGGGTAATGAATGAGATCATTAATTTTTGAAAACAGAAAACTATACGCATTTATGTATATAAGGCCGCTAACGTTATCTTCTTTCTGTACCCAAAATCTAACACCCATTGATAAGCCAAAATAGTTAGGGTCCTTCATGTTGGCAGTCAACTTTAATTCCTTATTCTTAGATGGAACATTGATGTTGTTGTAATTGTTGTTGTAGGGGTACGTTAAAATCCGCGTAGAATGCATAGCTAGTCTATGTCATCAATGTCAACTATCTGGAGTATGCAGTTTCGCTGGATTCGGTCCGTATGGAATGGAATTTTCGATGATCCATTTTAAAGAGCCAAACAAAGAGTGAGTGACGTTTGGATGTTCATTGCACGTTTGTTAGTTATTTAGTTAGTTAGTTAGGTAGCTCGATCACGGAACCCTTGATCTGTTGATCTAAACGGGGTTAGATCTCCGTAAGGGTGACAGACTTTGGAAGAACCGATGTATGTATACCGGCTGCCGTGAGAGTTGATCATAGAACACTGATCAAGCGCACTTAGGTCTCGTGGACCATTATCACACCTATGTATGTTGGACGTGTGAAAGAGATTCACACCACTTAGTGTATCTGAAATGAAGTTCAGGTGTTTAATCATGCCTACAGATGCAAGCTCTGCAAAGCAATCGAAGTAATGTTCCACCGATTCCTCCTCATCTATAGTCCCTGCAGCTACTGCAAGTCATTTGATAAGTAGCCCATCCTTCTACCATGAGTCACTATAAGACTATGTCCGGGTCTTACACCGGTTTAGAAGAAGTAAGATCCTCGATTCGATCAATGACTACGGATCTATCATCCAAAACTGACCATTCGTTGCTCTCTGGAATTTTTGTTGACAAAATATTGTCGAAGCAGTAGTCGGAAATGATGTAGTCTACCTCTTGCGAGAATAATAGAGCAGAGTTTAATATCTGATAGAGTTTTATATAATCTTATGACGTTGTGATTGGCATTAGGTCTCATAATCAGGCCTTATTACTTGAGTCTCACCTATTACTCGGTGCGTTTAGCGCCGTAGTGACCATTTCTGCACTGTAACAAATTTATTACCGCGTTGCTGGCGTCAACATTTTGGAATTCTCTCAATTTGACATGATTTCTTACTTGACTCCGGACCTTTGATCACCAAAAGCTGTGTTATTGCAATAACCCTCTGTCCCAAGTTGAATCTAGGAGGTTAAATAATCAGAAACATACAGAATGTACACTGCGAATCAAGTTGTATTCGGTATTTTCAAAAGTCAACTAACAAAACCGAATACGTAAGCCAACAACACATCACTATTTAAGGAATAGCAACCAAAAGAAAGACGATAGTAAAAGAGAATAATAACAAAAAAGAAATTCAGCAGGAAATCGCACAAGCAAATACTAAAATACACAACTGGATTAGGACGTCATTCTGCAGCAGGAAAACAGGAAAATGGAGTTGTCTACCGACAAGGTGTTCGACTGTGGTAGCGAGTGTGAACGTGAGAAGAAGCACGACATGATGTTGGATTTGAGTTTAAATGATCAGAAGACAGATAATCTTTTTGCGGGCTGTAAGTAGTTCTTTTAGTGAAATGTGCATAGAAATTACGTAAATATTTACAAATTCATATGCATTGAAAGAATAATCAAATATTTTAATGTACAACTAGCCGACCAGACACCCACACCTACACGTCTTATACGCAATTGTGAGGAGGTGGGACTCTTTGAGGATTTGCGACATGTAAACCCCTTCGAGGAGACATTTCGACGTGCCTGCGAACAACATAATGGACAGACACCGCTAAGACAACTTGACTCCGTGGAGGTGCATGCCGATGAAGATTCGCTGCACACACCACAAGTGTATCCGCAGCTGGAGTCCATACAGGGTTGTGAAATGCTGACCAAACCACTGGACAGTCCCACTTCAGCTGCAGTCACGCTGGACGTGCCCGTCGTTGATGAGTTGCTTAACACAGCGGCAGATACGTACAAAATTGGCACGTCACGACAAAATTCAAACACATCGACCACATCTTCGGGGGGTTATGGCAAAATTTATAAATATCGCACAATCGTTGAAAAACCAGCAGCTGACGTGCAAAACGATACACGCACACCATACATACAACTACCGACAACAGCAACGACCATCCAATTAATACAGCCCCAGTTGATCACATTAACATTTCCCGAGAATAATAATGTCAATAAGAGTCTGACTGGTAATTTGGAATCGAATCCCAAATCGCTGGGTACTACGGCCGTAACGAATGCCATACCCATACAGACTGTTAAGCCTTTCATTATGCCAAAGTTGGCGCCGGCGCCGGCGCCAGCGCCTGCAACAGGCACAACTGCCATTGCAACAGCAACAGCAATAACAACAACAATAACAACAAGAAAATCAACAAACTCCACAACAGCACTGCCACCAGTATTGAGCACAAAGAATGTCACAAACACCACACCAACACCACCACTGAGCACAACAGCAAACACTCCAGCTACCATAACACAACCAACGCCGGTACAGCACGAGCCCAGCAGCGCAAGTCTCACACCCACCTCCCAATTGCCCATCAAAGAACGTCTTAAGGCCATACTAAGTATGGGAAATAAGGCGCACGCGACTGCAGCAATGCCGCAAACTAAAACTACTAGCGACAGCAGCTGCGTCAGTAAAACCACTAGCAGCGCCACGAAACGTGTACGGGGTACAGCACCGAGTGCAGTTAAATACGATGAGGATTCTATGGTACGCCGACGCGCTGCTGCGACACGCTATCGCGTTAAAATGCGTAATGAGCATAAGGATCTGCGACGACGTAACGGCGAATTGCAGGCGGAAAACGAGAAATTGCGTGTGCGCATCAAGCAGTTGGAGCAGGAGTTGGTCAAAAGTCAACAACAACAGTCGCAACAAATATTGCAAGCCTCCCCAAATGGTGAGTGAATTTCAGTTTTTGTGTAAAGAAAAAAACTTATATTTTTAAATTACTTTCAGGCCACCTACAAGCAGTGCCCACACAAGTCCAAATACCACCGTCAACACTGCATCTGGTAATGAATATACCAACAATGGTGCTACCAGCAGGCGGACAACCATCCCTATTGCAGCCCATTACATATAGGGTGGAGAAGAAATAGGATCGCTCGCAAGCATACAAAATACTAAAAAGTCTTCCAAAACTACGGGAGTGTTAACAATGTGTCTTAAATTTATGGGAAAGTAATGTAATGTAATGTTTAATGTAATATTTTCAAAAAGTGTATTAGCACAAAGTGCGTTTGTTATAAACAAATTTAATGTTTAAAAATTTATTAAAAAAAAAAATTGTGTTGAGAAAATACTAATCTGTATATTATAGCACTAATTATTTATTATTTTATAGTAAATTCATATGTATTTGTATGAATAATTAAATGAGAAAGTATAACACGAACCAAAAGTTGGTATTATTATTATTATAAAATAATTATTGTGCATGTCAATAACTTAACGCGCAGGATATTGAGGCAGTCTGTATAAGTAAATTGTTTAAAATGAGTTTTCGTTGAATTATTTAGATTATAGCAGGTCACATCGATCAAATAAAAGCTAACACGTCATAAAACTACTTAACTTAGCGAGCTTACTGCTATGTTTCGTTTATATTAAAGTGTGAATATAATTAAATTTATTTATGAAATTGCTAAACTAAACTACAAGCAACTTAAAAAAGGCATGCTCAAACCTTTGCGATCCTTAAAATATTGCTTATCATTTAGAATTTAATATATCGTTGAATTCTCTTTGTAATTCCTCAATACGCTCCTCAATAGTATCCAGATGTGGCTTTTTGTTAGAATTTTGTGCATTCAATGCGATTTTTGATATTTTTGGTGAGTTCGAGATCTATTTGTAAGGAAAAAATATAAAAAAAATTAGAAATTTAAGCTAGAATACTGTTGCAAATTTTTCCATTGCTTTTTATAGATCTATAAGACCAAATTAATTAAAAAATTTGATAAAAAAAATAAAATAAAATAAAATCACTGTTAAATATGGTAACTGTTTTGGAGATCAGTGTGTGAGGGTCATAATGACTACCTAAAGTTCTATACTCCCACCAATTATTGAAGTTTTATTTGGCAATGCTCAATTTAATATAAGCAAAAACTAACTTCGAAGTGAAGCTATTTCATGCCATTTCGCTTACTTCTATGGTTTAATATTTTTAATTTTTTTGCTGGCACTCAAGCATAATTTTTAAATTAATAAATGTTATTTTTTTTTTCAACTAAAACTCCTCACCTCATTAATTTGTTCTCTTATTGAACGTCGTTCGTTGTGCAGTCTCTTAAAACGCTCATAATATTTATTGCGCAGCGAGCAGGTACCAGGCACATTCATACGGTTGTGTAAAAGCAACTCAAGCTCCTCGTTACGTATCTCCTCTTCGACCATACGTAAATCAGTGTCATTACGTGTGCGCTAAATAAAAAAAAAAACCATGTTTCGAATAGTGTTTCTTCATTAAAATTTTTCCAACTTACTTCGCACTCTATGCTCTGCATTAGCAACTCCAGATCCTTTTCCATTTGTAAGGCACGTTGACGTTGTTCAGACTCTTCCACAAGTACAGCTACTTCGGCTTTGCGATTGCGCAGCTCTTTCTGATATACATTAAGTAATTGACGATGGCAAGCAAGACGTTCTTCCTCACGATTAAGCGTTGAACGATAAAGCTTTTCCATTTCTGTGGTTGAGAAAAATTAAATAAAATAAAATATTTACTAAAAATTTTTTTCAAAAATATGTTCAAACTTACTCTCCACTTGTCTTGCATGTTCCTCTTCACGTAAACCGTTTTCGAGATGTTCCTTCAATTTCATTTCTTCAAGTTCCAACTGTCTAATTTTAGCATCAATATATTGTTTTTCCTTTTGTACAGCGGATAGATCTTCCTCGTGTTTGGCCAACCACTCTCGTGGATAATTCAAGAATTTTGGATACACTTTCTTTGGTATACATTGGAATTCCTTCATATAACGTCCCGGATGCAATGTTTGTGGGCATTTTTGCATTAAATTAAATGCTTTACTTATTACTTTACTCACATCGACGGGATTTTGCTCATGAAAGAAGGCCAATATGGTTGGTTTGTCGGGCAAATGCATGATTGCCTTACTCTGTTCAATATTGTATGCAACAGCAATAAATATCGGAAAGTATGATGGCCAGGCAATGATATTATCCCACAAGCATAACCAGTCTGCTTCATTAAAAACTTCTGAGAATCCTGTAGACAATATCGACCAGACATAGTGTTCCGGTCTGACATGCATACCTGCATAAAATGTACACAGCTCTGCACATTCGGACTGTAATATATTTTCACACAAACCCAAATAATTATTGGGCTCCAGTGGATGCAATTCGAACCATAACTGAAAATGATTCATCAGTAGGGTAACACAAATTTCAAATGTGACAAGTGCGTTACGTTGTAATAATTTTACAAATGGAAATAATAAATTTGGTAAGAATTTGCTATGTGCGAAAACGGGACACCAGTGCGCCAGACAAGACCAAGCACGTATAAGAGCATTCCTTAGTGTGCCATCACGTATTTGTATTTGTTTAGCACGCTGCTTCACCATGGTGGGTGTGCCCATTTTTAAAAGTTGAAAATATTCGCTTCGGTTATAGGGCAATTGCAGGAGAGCACACCATATGATTACGCGATATTTCTGTGGAAACCAGTGAAACTCTCGCAGTATGCCCAATAGACGATCACGATTCAATAATTTCCGAACATCCTCATGTAGGCATTCCTCCTCGGCCATTATAGTTCTTTTTCGATAAAGTGAAGGCCCAACAAGTAACACTGATTTGTTTTGTTGGAAAACAGCCTGCAGTGATCGCATGCACTCCTCCTGTGATTTTAGTGAACTGCATATTTGACTTGTGGACCAAAGATTCATCTCACCGGTTTCATTAAATACCGTCAAAAATCTGCTATCTTTCGATATGTTAAGTATTCTAGCCTTCTCTAACTGTATTCTCAATATAATATCCTTCTTAAGGCAATTTAAAATAACTACTTGCCCAGGATCGCCAGTCACGCCACAAATTAATACCTCATTTTGTTGTTTGAGAAACACACATTCTCGCAAAATGAAATCTTTCAGACGGCAAATATACGCCAGTTCAAATGTGCAGGTGTTTATCAATAACAAAAAACCATCCGCTGTGGAAAGACAAACAAGGCCATTATCGGGATGACAACAGTAAGCAAGAATCATGCCGTCAATGTGAACTAATAGACAATCTAAATAACCAAATTCGCTCACAACATTGTAGTCTTGACGAAGCACAAATTCTGCTGTTAAGCCCGCAGCACCTTGCATTTTCAGTCTTCGATCACGCATTTCTATAGAATGTAAAACGCGATTACGCTTCATAGTGCGACTTGACCAGATATGAACACTGCCATTAGTAAAACACATGAATAACTTATGTGATTGAGGCAGGTAGCATGCAAATTTAAGGGAGATCTCCTCTTTATCGAATTCCATCCGATGTTTTGGCAGAAATGTAGCTAAATCAACTATCAATACTTCATTACGACTTTGTACGAGCGCTAACTCTTTGTGTTTTGTTAGTCGGTCCGGCAGGGATATGGCTATGATTTTGAATTCAGCTACTGTGTTCTGTAGTATAAATTCTGATCGCTCTGCAAAAAACAAAAATACATTTCATAAATTCAATAATAAAAATATTTATTATCTACATCTATGTACATATACATACCTAAATCCAGTAGAAACAATTCACCATATGCATTACCAATAATATATTGGTTTTCTCTCTGCGCCCAATGCGCTATTGCCGTTGGACGGTTAATTGATATCGGCAATCTCCAATATAATTTGTTAACCAAGTCAAATACAAATATAAGTGCACTAAAAGTAATTTTGTTGGTTGTAAAGAATTTTTACAAAATTATTGCATAGTCCACTCACTTTGATGTTATTGCCACCATGTTTGTACTATGCTTATTGAAACAGCATAATACCATACAAAGCCGATTGTAAGAATCACCCGTGTGAACAGTGTGATGTACAGTCAAAATATTGCTGAAAAGGAATTTTTAATTTTTGTATATTAATACTTCATCTTCTACTCACCCTTTATCACATTTTTTGAACCTAAACGCATATTTACGCACAGGTTCAGCCGCGTGTACTTCTATAAAATCTTGAGGATTGCCCTCTTCATCATCACTAATGTTCTTAAACGCTGCACCAGCTGCCTTTGCACTAAGATCAGCATCTCCAATGGACTCTTCCACAATAGCATCGCGAATTTTGTCAACCGCTTCCTGTGCTGCTTGAGCTGGTGCTCCAATACTTTCCACATTATTTTGATGATTTAAGGTATTTATTGCAATATCACTATTGTTTGGTGTTGTTTTTTCCATTTTAAACTGAATTCGCGGTCAACAAACAAAAAAAAAAACGGAAACGAATTTTTTTCTTTGCTGTACAATCAAGTGCTGCCAAATCTTAACTTAAATAATTTTTCAGCACAAAGAACAGCTGATTTAACAAACAGCAAACGTTTATTTAAATTTTTATAAATTGAAAACCAATCAACATTTAAATTAAATCAATAAAACAAGTACTCAGCGTTAAGTTAAATTTAAGCAGTGCTGAAAATATATAGTGCAGATTTCGGTATAAAAATTGCAAGAAATTTTTGCGCGTGTGGAGAAGACAGAATTTGAAAAACTAGTAATGCACAAAATGTATCGATAGCTGAATCTACGAAGTTTTCAAAGTGCGAGGCGAATTTGTAGAAGGTGAAGTTGTCACATCATATGATGCTTGTTCTTAACTAACTTCTTCTTAATAACGAACAATTCGCTAGGCACGACGGCATACTTTACAATTCGAATACTATTATTTTCACACCGTTTAGTAACCATACAACTCTTTATAAACACCTTATTTCTATTATTTCTCTGAATACACGCCGTTTATTCCGCTATACTATAGATCGATGTTGCTACTACAGAGTATCAAACTCTACTAAACTGCCGCAGTGCGCGCTTCGCTAGTACAAATACATATATACATACATACGGATTGCACGCAGGTATCTTAATTTGCATTCTATCTAAAACATTTAGTAATCGGAGTCTCCTTTTCATCTCACTTTCGTATTTGTCATTTTCGCCACAGTATTGAAAGTTCTCTGGATGCATTATGTTAAGGCGAATTCGATGCAGTATCCGCCGATGGAAGCAGAGAAAGTGGAAGACCTACACTCTGTTGAAAATACCAGGTAAAGAGGGACCTGGCTCTACTTGGTATCTCGGCGTCACCGGTACAGCGTCGAGGCCAAAACTCAAAATTCAGAAATATTATACAAGTGTTTTAATGTCTATAGTTCGAATATCCTTGCTACACCAGTGGGTGTATCTCTAAACTCATGTGTATGTATGTCTCATCAGGATATTGAAAAACTTTGTGCGATAGCAAACTGCTAACTCTCCGACCTTCTTCTTCTCCGGCCGAAATTTTCGGCTACCTCTACACCAGCTGGACGTAGGATATCGGCTCGAACTAAATGTGAAAGTCAACTAAGGTGAAATTCCAACAATAGACTACACAAAGATACTAGAGGTCGACAGCCTGAACTACTTCACCCCGCCGACCAAATTACACTGCACCGACTTGGACATCGGGCACTAGCAGGACCCAAGTGTAGAAGCTAGGGGCTTGCCAGAACACAGTGCTGAAGACGGTAAAGGGAAACCTCTTGATATCGCCTGTGCACCACTTACATAGTGAAACATCTAGGCTCTCAGTTAAGGTGCATAATATTATACTGTGTACTCAAGGATGCAAGGATGGTGTCTACGGTAGCACATCAGGAAAGGTAGAGGGCTTTTTTTCAGCCCCTCACAAACAGATCAATGTGACATGGCGACTTACCGACAGTCCCTAAACGTCATTCAAGGAGATTTCATAAACTCTTCCTCCGGCTATAGCGTGTTTGGAATCGAACCACCACCCATAGTATAGAAGAAGGAGTTGCCTCGCGAGACCTGAGTAGTAGTGGTGCTGTCTGGACTACACAGACACCTCCACCATCCCTATGCATGCTCAATAAAAGACCACTCATCTAAAACCTCTCTTTCTCTGGCTCAGACTCGTCTAAACAGTTTGTTTCCAGAACCTCCCTCTCGAGGTTATCAGAGGGACATAGATTAACTTTACCTGCTTCTATGCGGGGTTGAGCAAGCCGCTACAACAATAGCTGAAACTTTTTAGTTCAAAACTTAAAATTTTTTAGAATATTAAACGCATTTATTTGCTTTGCAATTTATTTTACACTTCAAAAATAACAATTAAGGTGACTTTAAATATTTATTTATTATGCAAGTTGCAGCTACTAATATGCAATATATGTAAGTATGTATTGGTTATATGTATATATTTCGCATAGTTTTACATATTACAAGGATATCTTTCTTGATGAGCTGAATCTTAGGTGGGGAGGTGAAACATACACACACTTTTTGCCTGAATAAATATTTTTGATAAAGAAAAAGAAAATACTCTGCAAAACTCTCGAATGGAAAAGACGTAAGCCAATCTTATTTACGTGCATACATATCTACATCATTCTAATTTACAATACATATGCAACTGCATCCACTGTGTTTCGTTGTAGCATTTAAAACGCGATGTGGTGGGGTGTGGTGGGTAGAGGAGTCGATGAGAAGGAGAGCAGGGCATTTGAGAACCTCATTCTCGAACTCCATGCCAACAAGGTGGATCGATGGCACAATGCCAACTACCACAACGCCGCCGCGCGTATCGCTATTTACCCAAGCCCACCCACATGTAATTGGGATCGATGAATTGTGCGCCATGATAACCACGCGGATTCATGGCCACCAGTGAACGTATCTTCTGCGAGGGTCGATATGTGCGAATCGCGTGTAGCAATTCTGTGGATGATAGAGAAGAAACGTTTCACTTCAGCTTAACGTACATAGGAAATATAGTTTTGTTCTTGCACCTACCTGCGTTTGCCTCGTGTCCGCCAGTTATCTTCTGATGCAGTTCACGCAAAGGATGTTGACCTTCCAGTAATTTTGCCTCCTCATGACTTAGCGGCAATGGTTTCTCATTGTAATGCACGTTTTTTGAAAGATCCGTAAAGAAATTACCGAGATGTGTCATGGCGCCTGCAAAGAAAAGGATAAACCAGTCAAGTCGAGACGAGACGAGACGAGTTTATATATTTCTGAAACGTCTGCGACACGCTCGTCTCTTTGCTCTACTTACCAGCACTTATTGAGGGCAGAAAAGTGCGTTGATCCATATTGCCAGTTTTGTTGCGCTTAACAGCCAATTTCTTTGCTTCCTCGAGCTCTTTCTGTCGATCGTACTGGTATGCCGTATAGGGTATATAACCATAGTCTAAGCGAAGGTTGCGCGCTAAGGAGATCCGTTTGGAGCGTGGTGGTTGCTCGGTATTAAAACGCTCGTTAGCCGTAGACACATCGCCACTGTAATCATAATCCGTTAGTGTATCCTGTTTTTCCGCAGTCTCCCCCACATGATTGGAGCTATCCACGTCACTTTCACCTTCAGCGGAACTTTTCTTCTCTTCACCGGGTACAAATTCGGGCGCTTTCTTATAGACAACGATATCAGCATCCTGTATACGAAATCCTTTTGTTTGCACCGGTTGTTGGTGTTGCATACGCAGCAGCGATTGTTGTTGCATTGGTTGCCACTCTTGTTGCGTTCGCCTTGTTTCCGCTTGCCTTTGCCCAAACAACCAACCACCCAGCCACTGCAATTGTCGCTGACGTCTTTCCTCTGCGGGAGCTTCAATAACCTTTGATTGCTGCAATACTTCTCGCAGCGTCATTTCGTCAGCATTTGTTTTGTCAAATACAGCATTTCCGTTTCCGTCGATGGATTTTTCGTCACCAAAACTCCCAGAATCAATTACAAAGTCGTCAATGTAGCGATGAGGCCAATGTTGTGGATAAATGGGTGGATGTGGGTCGGGAGGCCACTTTGCTGCCACTGTGGTGGGAAATAGAGTATAGAGAAGGGTTAATGGTGATTGAAGTTGTTGTAAATACTTATTTATATGTCAAGTGTGTGCGCCTGTTTGTGTTAGGTATGTATGTCTGGTGGGGTCTTATTTTCGTTTAGCAGGTAGGGAATTTAAAAATTTAATACTGCCCGCAGTGAGGCATGTCTTTCGCTATGTACCACTAAAGTCAAATAGGTGGGGATTTTACCCGGCCTGCCCACCACTACTCTCACAACATTCCCCGAAATCAAGATTGCAACAAGATGCTATTAAAGAAATATAAAAGTCTTTGCCCTGAACCTAAACCATTAATCGTAAAGATGAGAAACTTGGAGGTTGGCATCCGACAAGAAAGTTGTTTCTGGGTTGTTGGCCTGGGACCGACTTATGGTCGCAACACCATCATCCATCTTGAAATCCAGCACCACGACTGAAGAGACCACGTTCAGCACACAGCGAATACAATATAGCGGTCGTAGTTGAGAGTTCACACGAAGACCGTCGAAAGTAGATTCGGCGCCGTTCACAGCAACTCGGGCTGACGTATGCAACGATTTGGCGCATTTTACGTCGAGATCTTAATTTTAAAGCGTAGAAAATCTAGTTTAAGCAGAAACATATGCCGATCGACCTTCCCAAGCGACAGCGCTTCGCTCTATGGATTCTTGAAAAGTTCGAAGAAGATCCGACGTTCTCAAGTCAAATTTTGTTCAGTGATGAATTCCGTTTCTGGCTCTATGGAAATGTAAATAAATAAAATTGCCGCTTTCGGGACGAAGAGCTACCTGAACAGATGGAAGAGCTGTCATTTCATCAAAAAAAAAAAAAAAAAAAAAATGGTTTCGTGTGGTTGGTGGGCCGGTGGAATCATCGGTGCATATTTTGTGAGCAGATAATTTCACAATTTGCGTCGATCAATTGACTACCAAGATCGTGTGATATCTCAATGTTAGACTCTTTACTGTGGGGAAATGTAAAGTTTAAAGTCTATGCGAACGAGTCATCGAAAATTGAACTCAACGGATGGACCAACAGAGATGTAGCAGCTGCTAACATTTGAAATAGGTAATCTTCAAAAAATAAATGCCAAAAAAATGTTCTTTGGAATAAGAATAAAAAGTAGAGCACCTCTTAATGGATCACCCTTTAAATGTATGTACGAAATTCTTTTAATATCTTCATTTTTGCTATGAGAATTCTTTTGAAATGTGTATATTTTATTATGTTTTGTTTTGTTTATTTGCCTTGAGCCATGTCCACTCATACTTAACGCAACATCTTCGCAGTCTCCCAACCTTTTCAACCAACCCTTCATCAATAACAATAAATTTAGGGTCATTCTGCATTTGTGTGTTTTTTTTCAATGTATGTGTAATTCGTTTTTGTTGTGACAATTAAATTACATTTTGTATGGAAAAAAAAATATTCTCTTTGTTTTTGCTATCGTAGCTTTGTTCCTTCAATTAACCATCGAATCTATGAATATAAAGGAGGCGAATTTTAGTTTAAACTTGCATGACACTCGCTGATAAGAAGTGTTGGATTTTTATTTTTGCTGACCTATTGTCCTGCTGAGTGTCCTGTTTTGTAATTTTTTGTGTGCATTGCAGTGATAAGTGTTTATTGTGAAAGGATAATGAGCTATATAAATATGTATGTGTGTATGTATGTAGATAAGCAAATGTATGATGTATTTATACGTTTGTCATTAAATAGGATTGTAAATATGCACATTTATGCAGACATATATACGAACAAGTTTATTAATGATTTTTATTTTTTTTATTAATTTTACATATGTATGTATGTATGTATGTATTTATATTGTGCTTTTTGCCCCAATTTTAATTAAAACAATAATGAATCAATAAAAATTTAAAAAAATGCAGAACAATGGACACAGTCGTACATATAAATACATACATATGTATATATGTATATACAGACATAGTAGGTTGGTGTACGTGCAACTTTTAACTGTCCCGAAATACAAATTTTGTAATTAAAAATAATAAATTGCTACAAACTACATACATATTTACATTAGACTGATCCTAAAATTCGTTTTTTAGCCACCAAATTGATTAAAATTAATAAAAAAAAGGTTTGTCCCAGGAAAAACGAGACTACTACAGAAAAGGCAACAAATGGCTTTTTTGCCAAAATCTTTCTGTCTTCACTTTCTGCCACAATTAATATCGATATTGTAAACCAAAATGGAGAATCTCAGCTGACTAAATTCTTTCTTCGAAACCCACTTTTCGCCTGAAGCTATAAAACTTTTGGCGTGGAAACACGTCGGTTGCTGGGATAACTGTCATACAAATTTGTTGAAATATCTCTATTCCTGGAAAAGTAGTCCCGTTTTATGTGGTAACCAACTTGTAAATCGCATTTTAATCTTTCCTGAGGTCATGACATAAAACTAATTCGGATTTAAGACGTTCTTTTCTTTCCATTTTTGTTTTATAAAAAGTTTTGTTTTTGTAGTTTTCAAAAAAAAATTGAAACGCCAAAAATTGTATGTCTTGACCAAGAACTTACGTTTATTGCTGAGATAACGGTTTGACGTTATGTTTCAAATGTGATTACGGGCAAGTGACCGACAAAAATTTTCTTCAATAAATGGATTGTTTCATTGGCTGTGTGACACGTAACGCCAAAGATCGTCCGTATAAACATCCTCCTAAAGAGTTCCCCATTGATTGTAAAATTATGAGCGGCCCCATGTTTGAAGAAATGTGAACCAATGATTCCCTCTACGTATAGAGCACACCAAACAGTGACTTTTGGAGTATGTAACGGCGTCTCAGCAATGGTTTGTGGATTGCCATCACAAATGGTCTAAGTGCGACAATTTCATTTCAAAAGTTAGCTTCATCGCTGAAAAAAAATGTTCTTGTGAAAATCAGGTTTGGTTGCTATCTCGTTTTGGGCCCATTCCTTGAACGTGTGACGCGCTTGACGGTCATTTCTTAAGCCCGCAAAACAAGTTCCTTCCTCACAATCTCCCAAAAGACAGATCTATGGTTGCTCGAATTACAAACTCTGCTGGGCAATTATGTGGTACGAATATAATATGATATAATAACCGAACCCTTATTTTGGTATTAAATTTGAACGGGTGGCCTACGTTGTTCCGAAGAAAGTCTGGTCGATATGGGATGGTAAGTCAAACTGAGTATAAATCAAGTAATAGCTGTTAAAATGGTCAAACCCAAAAAAAAAAAAAAGGTTGACTCATTAGAAAACCCTTTATTTTATAATTTAGGAGCGCCATTAACAGCTCTGACCAGGGCTTAAGTTTGTAAGCCTCTAGTTAAAAATGTTGCCGACTTCAGGGGCCACCTAAAGTTTATTGCTATTGGGTATTTGAATTGAGTTTTCTTGAAGTGGCCAACGCTCTCTTATTAAGTTTTAAAATTTAATTAAGTATTTGTCTCCAAAGAGAAGACTTTTATTTTTTATTAAATTTTAAGTACTAATAAATTAAGTGCGCCTAATTTTAGTAATTTTTATTATATTTTAATGATTTTCCTTCAGTTTTTATAATTAGTTATTTAAGTATTTTTTTGAAAATAAAAAATTTTCAGTATTAAGTTTAGTAATTAAAATTTTTTCAATGCTTTTCAGTTAAAAATATATTTAAGATTTTTGCCATTTTCTAAAAAAACGCTGGAAGTGAAGAAAAAAAATCCAATAATTCGAGTTCTGTAGGTTTACATATTCTTTCTGGCCACCCTATTGTAGTTACAAACAAATATAATTGAAAAAAAAATCAAAGTTAAAATTATCTTTCAATTCCCTGCGGTCATTGGGAATTCACTGTCCCATGGGAATGAAGATTGTTGTAATATAATTCTTAGTTGCTTTTTAAATAGTGTTATATACTTATATTGATTTATATTTTTTTTTATAAATACGTATTGAGTTATGTGCTTGTAAATAAATTAATAAAATTTTTCTGCTGTTTTCTCAATTCAGCCAAAAAAACGACTACGGTCGTCGCTAAAAAAAAACTATTTATATTGTAAACAAAAAAATGTAGTTTTTTTTACTGGGAATGCAAATTAGGGATTCCACAAGAAAATTTCAATAATTAAAACTTTCGGTAAGACATTTAAGAGAATATTACAATCAACCAAGGATACCCTGCAACGTTTCGCCGTGTTCCATACTCGTTGAATGTAAAACTTTATTTACTTTGAATTGTGAGTATATAACGGTTTTGGTTGTACCATCGGTCATGTAAATATTAAAGTTATCTCCTCTGGCAATCCGTCTCGAAATGCAGACCATTCCAAGCATTGACCAAAGATTGACCCTGAGCTTTGTTGATAGTGCGATCTACTTGAACAGTGAACTGTAGTCACTTGATTTGAATGATGGGTTTTCGAGGAATGAGGATATCTTCATCTTTGAAAGTCCGGTTGGAATTGTTGCTCCCATTTCGCCTCCCTGACGATTCCAAGTGGTGTGCCGCTGCAGACTTTCGATTAATTAAAAGTTTCTAGTATTATAATGAGCGGCGGCCCCGTTAGTCGAGTGATTAGCATTGCGTACTGCCGTTCGGATGGCCAACATCCAAAAGTTATGGAAAATTAATTTAAATAAAAAATTTAGTTAAATTTTCTGATTGCGGTCACCCCACGCCAGGAAATGTCAAACCCTCCGAGTGTACTTCTGACATGAAATAAGAGCTCCTCATAAAAAAAAAATCAGCCGATCGGAACTGTATAAACTGTAAGCAAACTAGTCTAGATTTTACCGAAAAATACTAGTATAATTCAAGTCTACGGCAAACTATCAGACGTACAACTTTGCTTCCGCCGTTTTTCGATAGGAGGCTGTATCGGTTGCTGAGGCTGGTTGAAATACATAGATGATAATGCCTTTGAAGTGAGTGTGGACAGTGCCTAACGAATTGTCATCGCCGTTTCAGTGACAGTTTTTCTTGTTTTCGTATTATTCACGCTCGAAAATGTCCGTTTATGTGCCTAATTCTCGCCATTTGCGGGAAATTTTACTTTTCTGTTACAATTCGAAAAAAATGCAGCTGAAGCGCCTCGAATGCTCTCAGAAACTTACGGTGATGCTGCTCTGAGTGAAAGAACGTGTCGGGAGTGGTTTCAACGTTTTAAAAATGGTGATTTCGATGTCGAAGACAAACATGGTGGTGGAACCTTCAAAAATTTACTACGAGCTCTTAAAACCGGGTGAAACCATCACAGAAGATCGCTACCGAACGCAACTGATGCGCCTTAGTCGCGCGCTAAACGAAAAGTGGCCACAATATCAAAAGCGACATGACAAAGTAATCCTCCAACACGACAATGCTCGGCCTCACGTCTCAAAAGTGGTTAAAAAGTACTTGGAAATGCTGAAATTGGAAGTCTTGCCCCATCCGCCGTGTTCCCCAGACGTCGCCCCTTCTGACTTCCACCTATTCCGTTCGATGACACACGGCCTTGGCAGATCAACATTTTCAATCCTTCGAAGAATTGAAAAAATGGATTGCTTTATGGATAGCCTCAAAAGAGGACTCCTTTTTTCGAGCCGGGATCCGAAAATTGCCGGAAAGATGGGAGAAAGTTGTCGCTAGCGAAGGACAATACTTTGAATAATATATCTGTAAGCACTTTTTCGCTATAAGCTTTTAATTTTGGAAAAAAAAAAACGGCGGAAGCAAAGTTGTACACCAGATAGTATATTTTTGTTCTGTAAATATCAGTTTAATTCTGCTTTACAAACAAAGCAGTATGATGGCGTCTACAAAATACTAGTATCGAAGCATGAATAAGATTTTGTCGCCTAGGTCAGTATCTGAACCACTTCCCAGCGGCAGTGTAGTCTTCCTGTTGATCCAAGCAAAAAGACGTAAAGTGAATAAATCGGACCACAAATAAGATTTTTCAAACAGGTCAGCGCCTGACTCACTTTCCGAAAATTCGTATAAACCTTCCCATTAACAATGGTTCACAATCTGACAAAAGTCAATTGGTCGGTAACTTTAAGGGATTACCGTATCTGTATAAACGAACATAAAATTTATATACATACATATATACAGAAGATTTTAGTATTCTATATCGTTGAGTAAGAATTTTTTAACTAAAAAAGGAATCATCGTGAATATTCATTTTCTACTCATTCTCTAAATTAAATTTTTCTTTCTGGCACTTCCATAATTTTTAGCTCCAAAATAATAAAAACAAAAGTAGACAAACAGTACTTTTCCAGTTCAGTAAACAAAAAGAATATAAATATAATAATTTATTCTTTTCCTACCCACTTGGTGTTGAGCACTAATTTACTAAAAGGCATGGCCGGATTTGGCTTGTGAAATAATTTAGTAAAAAAAAAACCTGCAAAAGTGGTACTAAATAGAAAAAGTGCTAATGGCGATTAATACAGTCACTGTGCGACTCTCTAAATAACTGTGATTATCTACATAAATTGCAAAAAAAAAAAAACAAAAAAACACTAGCTTGTTTACCTTTAATCTATTGCTAGATTAAATAGAAATAATGCAGGAAATCAATGCATGAAGTAAATATTATGACCATATATAATGTAAGTATGTATGTACATATGTATGTATGTAGCTGTTATTAAACCTTTCTTCTTATATGTCTCATACTTATTTATTCATTATTGTATTTACATGAGATTATATGTATTTATGTGTATATATGGTTGAGCTGCCCAAGAAATTTATGATAATAACTGTTTTTCGAAAATTTCTTGCGAATCAGCTTCGGGAGTCCAAAGTCTTATTTTTTGATATTTTTTTTAAATAAAAAATTTAGTTTTTTATTATCTTTATTGAAAAAAAATGTAAATAATTTTCAGCTTTTTATGGTCGTCTTACTTTATATTTATATATCAGAGTGCCCTCATTTAAAGCCGATATTTGAGTGTATAGAGGGAGGGAATGTGTGCATACTGTTGTTGAGGTTAGGTCTATATGTTGAAATATAATTTAAAAAATATTTAAAAAAATATGATTAGTACAGAGTCGAAGTGTTAAAAATATTGTGCACCAGTTTTGGGTTTATTGAAAAGGATTTAAAAAAAAAGAAATACTATATGAAGACCGGTTTCGAAAACTTTTCTTCCTTTTGCTCTTCCAAATTTTTACATATTTTTTTTTTTAGTTTGTTACCCTGAGAAAGCAGAATTTTCCTTTATTCAAAATTACAAGTAATGACATGAAATGAGTTGATTTTACCAGTATTCATTCATATCAAATTCTTCGGCTTTAGAAAATCTTCAGAGTGGTCTAACCTCACAAATACAGCTGAGTATGAGTATGAGGTGCTTTTCACTTTGAAGCGTTGTTATTGCTGAATGCCAATATTAAGATTTAATGATTAGGATTCAACTCTATGTATTTCCGCAGTATTCATGGCGGATGGCTATTCAAAAGAGAGCCCTCTCATATACATGAGTGTGACATATTTACTTATTATTTAGTATAACTTGATCAGTACTATGACACAGGAAAAAATATCGTTCTACAGAAGCTATATATTATATAAATAGACAATTGAAGAAAGATCCTTTACTTCTATTTTCTTCTGTGTTCACCTGAACCGCTTCTTCTGATACCTGCTTGTATGCCATATGAAATGTGAACGGTAGAAGGAGTGCACAATGTAACTGCTTATCCATCTTAACACAGGTAATCAGGGTAATTTTTGCCCATGAAGAGTTCAATTTATCGTCCTACATAAATATGCAAATCTTTATTTTCATGTTCGTTGCCTAAGAACTCCGTAACTAGCCTGCAGACCATATTGAAAATTTGTCAGTTTGTTCCTTTTCCGGGAAGTATGCCAGTGTAGACCGGCATTTTTGAACAAAAAATCGTATTTATGGTTCGATTCACTTGAAATTTGCTAAACACTTAGTGTTTAAGCGTCTGCTTAAACAGCGACTTTAAAATAAATAAATGTAACTGCCGTGCGCGTGGAATTGCCCGTCTCTTCCCACTATTTCCGTGTGCCCCATCACGCGCCAATTCCTCTATCCTTTTTGGCCAAATTTCGTTAGCCGATCGACCGCTTAGCGGCGGCCGTTCGAGCTAACGAAAAACACTCTAAACCTACCAACCCTCGCTCGCGCACGGCAGCTTTGAACCGCGGTCTCTCATATTTTCTTACATTAAATAATTTATCAAAAATTGTTTAAATTAAATAATTTGTAAAAGTACATTGAGTGACAATAAATTAAGTGAATTTCTTTTTATTAAATTTGTGAAAAATTTTAAAATTGAAAAAAGTGTTTTTTTTATTTACACTGTGGGCCCGCTCGACAGCCGGCATCCCCTTACTTTACCCTCAAGTCCTTGTGGACTTGAACACTTAGGTAGTTTATTGCTGGGATTAGCACGAGGACCATACTACTCACTAGGAAGGGACCCAGGGATAGCTTATTCTTATTATTTATGCGTTTGCGATGACCAAAATACGCAAGAACAAATATTTATTTAATGAAATATGTGTATATGTATTGTATAGTACGCAGTAGGGTTTGAAATAAATAATGAGTTTTAGATGAAAATGGTCAAGGAATGGTAGTACAGTTTCCACAAAAAAACATAGTAGATCGTGAAATTTTAGATTATAATTAATAGAATCTCAACACTATAAGATTTCTGGAATCTGTTTTTATACCTTTCATGTACATGAAATGGTATCTTAACTTTAGTTCGAAGATATAAATCCATCAAAATTATACCGAGCGGTTCTGCATGCCGAATTAAGTTGATTTCACCTATCTGTTTGTACGCAAACTGGTCGCTCAGTTCTTTTTCAGAAATTTCAACCAGACTTGATACGAAGTTCACTGTTACATTTAAACGATCATTTGCCGGAACCGGCCAGAACGGCCCACTAGAGCATATAGTATATGACTTAGGACTCGAGCCCTGCTCTAACGATTGACAGTACACATTACTAATCAATCGGCTCTTGCGACTGCGTATATACGACCGATTTCGCAGATCTGAGATTTTGGGACACACGCTTAACAGAAAGCATTTAAGAGCGTGAAACTTACATACATATATGAGAATCTATAAATTGTTGCTGAAAATGTTTGAAATCGGACGATTTGTTGAAATTTGTTATTTTGGGTCAAAACTCCATCAAAAAATGCGTCTAAGGGCTTGATATTTGGAATTACTCGTATACCTTAGTATATATAAATAAAATAAATAAATAAATAAATAAATAAAAAAAATAAATAAAAAGAAATAAATAAATAATCAAATAAATTAATTAATTAATTAATTAATAAATAAATAAATAAATAAATAAATTTACATTGACACAGAAATTTATCGAGGAGGACTATGACATATGTCCCCACACCCAATTTATTCAGCTGTGAAATTTTGAGTTATAAATTTGTCAAAAAAGCTTCTAAGAACATGAAATTTGGTATTCTGCACACGAATATACAAAGAAAAATTGGCAACAAAATTCATCGAAATCGAAAAAGTTCAAAACAATTCTTCAGATATGAGAATTAATATTTAATCCTAAAATGTTTAAATTTTTCAGCATAGCTTCATTGAAACCCGAAGAGCATTCCAGTGAAATATGAATATTTTTGAGATTTGGACCGTTCAGAAAAATAGAATTCCTTAATAATCTTATTATTCGAATTACCTGAAAATTGGTGCTCAGGTACCTCATTACCTAAATTAGGAGCAAATTTTTCTTCGGGGACGTGCACCAGAGATCGATCTATCGCAGAAAATATTATTTGCGACAGAATTAGGTTGAATTTTGGTACATAAATAGGTAACTCTATGCCTAAATTAACACAGGGAATACATATTTGTGATTTCGGGAAGTGTACCTGACACGGATATATGTCTAAAAACCTTAAAAATGGCGCGATATACTTGCACTTTTCCAAAGTGTACCAGATACTGATCTTATTGAGATTAGCTGAATTTTCGTCTAGAAAAACAAATGGAATTTGCTTGGAATTCAGTGCTTTGACAGCAAGTTTTGTCTATTGCATAACCTTGGATTCAAAAAGAAGCTCGATGTTTGCGTGCCACACGAGCTAACGCAAAAAAACATGACGGGCCGAACTTGCATCTGCAAATCGCTACTGAATCGCAACCAAATCGACCCGTTTCTGAAGCGGATTGTGACTGGCGATGAAAAATGGATCACTTACGACAACATCGAGCGCAAACGGTCGTGATTAAAGCTCGGGGAAGCGGCCAAGACCGGAATGACGCCCAGGAAGGTTTTGCTGTGTGTTTAGTGGGATTGGCAAGGAATCATCTGCTACGAGCTGCTCTCCTATGTCCAAACGTTCAACTCGGCCTCGACCCTCTACTGCCAACAAATGGACCGCTTGAAGGCAGTACTCACCCAGAAGAGGCCATTTTTGATCAACAGAGGCCGAATTGTGTTCCGTCAGGACAAAGACAGGCCACACACGTCGTTGGTGACGCGCCAGAAGCTCCAGGAGCTCGGATAGGAGATCCTAATACACCCTTCTTATAGTCCGGACCTGGCAACAAGTGATTACCATCTTTTCCTGTCCATGGCAAACGCGCTTAATGGTGAGAAGTTGGCCTCAAAAGAGCCCTGTGAAAATTGGTTCTCCGATTTTTTTGCCAATAGGGAGGCAGCCTTCTAGGAGAGGGGTATAATGAAGTTGGCAACAAGTTTACAAACAAAACCGCGCAACGAAGCCTTCGATTTTTAAAGGGGAAATTTCTTGGTATATTAAAAGAACACCTCTTATTGGCAAACCCTTTACTTAGCTGAATCAATAATATAATAAGAAATTTTACATTTTACACTAATTAAATCTTAATAAGGTGTTTTCATTATTCTTTACTTATCACTTACTTATAATGTAAGTTGCGTGAAAATCAGAAAGCCACAACAATGTGTGGCTGGGTCTTCTAAGGCTCCCTAAATTTTTTAAAGAGAGCAACTTAAATTTTTCTCGGTGAAAATGACAGAAATTAATGAATAATTATAATTTTAACGGGAAAACTGTTATTTGAATTTTCGTGCCTGGCTGACAATCCTTCTCCTTATCCTCCCTTCCTTTTTCAAACATTTGCTTTGCGTACAGCTCTTTAACGCTCTAACCAATATAATATTACACTTCACACACACACACACACACACAAACACCCATCTATGATTATCACACTTTTACTTACCTTTACTAATGAGAAACATGACCAACAACAGCAACAGCGTCCACTTGAACGGCCACAAAGTAAACATCATATTGCGGCTGCAACTGTTGCTCACCCTGCTCCAGCGACTACAACACGCCGATGTTGCAAACATCAAAAAATAATAATAAATTTGAAATTCTGTTTTCAAGTAACCCGAACTCTTGTTAAATACCGCCTCTTAACGGCCACATGCTGGAGCACACACTGCTCACACGTGCTTCAAAAAAAAAAAAAATTCAAGAAGAAAAAAAAATTCCCGAAAAACAATTTACTGTGCGAAGAAGTGAGATTTTCAAAAATGTTTCAGAAATTAACAAAATCTCTGGCAATAGTAACAATTTTAAGCAACCGCCGTTCAAGCAAAGTGCTTTCCCGTCAAAATTTCGTTGAGCGCGCAATGCTCAACGCCTAAATGCAGACTACAACTGAGAATTGACAGCAAATGTGGCGGCGCTTTTATACGCTGTCAGCCGTAGTTAGTGCGTGCAACTTCAAAAGCACGCACACACAGACAATTATACAAACTAATATACAAACATACATACATACACACACATATTGTATATACCTATGTATGTGTATATGTAGACATGCAAAGCTAGATAACGCGAAATATAAAACTGCGCTGCTCATGGTACGACTGATTGAATGTTGCAGTGTGTGACGGTGTATGTGTGTGTGTGTGTGTGTGCTTGCGTCCTCTGCCGAGTCACACCTGTTGGCAGACCAAATGCGTTATGACGCTATAGCACAAGCGACTTTTCGCTTTCATTTCAGTTGCGAGGGAAAGTGCTCCTTACACAATTTAGACAATTTGTCTCTGCTGTGAGTTTCGTCCAACACCTGCCACCACTGCCACCCCTGACACGCTTACACAAAAAAAGGCTTACAATGAAAAACCTTACGACTTCAACTAAATAGTAAATTTTCCCACTATCACCTGTGTCACAGTTGTTGTTGTTATTGTTGTTGTTGTTGCATTGACATTTTTTTGTGACACTCATCGTCAGTCACTCCAACACTATCATCGCCTTTCGATACTGTTGCTGATTAGTTTGTCATTTTGTTGCTCAACGCTACGTGTTTATGCGGCTAAAGCTCGCGGGATTGCATTTTTATCGTCGCATTTTCGTAAACTCCCCAAATTGTTGTAAAGGATATGTGACATCAAAAGGCAACAAAATGCAGCAAAATTAGCTATGAGTTGGCTGGATTAAATGCTCGTTGTTGGCGCTTGAAACGTGATGGTCAGGTTAATGTCCTCGAATGGGAAGGAGGAAGAGCTGGTACTAGTTTGTTATGAATGTCTTCTTTTATAAGAGTTTTATTGGAAAAAACTCTCTGGTCAAGGGGATTTTAAGTGCCGGAATAGCTGATGTAAAAACACCTCATAAAATCCATCTTCTAATCGGAGACGGCTTAGTAGAAACTGTAAGTCCCTGCATTTGTTGGGAAAACATTAAGACGCACACCACAAATTGAGGGAGGGGCTCGGCCTAAAATCGCTTCAGCGACTACAAAACACCAATTATTTTTTCTTTAATAAGAAAATTGCAAACCTCTTTGCTGATCTACAGTTTCCAATTGAAACTTCCAGAAGAAATGTTATTAACGTCCTCAGCATGCGTCTTTGGCTTGGGTGGACCTTTTCGACAAGAGTTCCGCTAAGACGTTTTCCACTTCGGAGCTTCTTATCTTATCCGATGGATGATCTTCACTTCTAGCAGTGTCTGCTTTGTTGCTTTTCTAAAATGCTATTGTTTCTCTTCACCTTGGGATGAGCTGGGTTTTTAGATTTTCTGTTAAATAATCTCGCTACTATTTCCAATACATTCTCTGGGCAGCCGTTTGGAGGTGAGCTAAAGTAAAAGGGCAACCTTCTGTGGTTTTACGTTGAATTTAGGACCCAACAAGATTGCTAAATGCCTCTGATAAGAAATCTTCCCCTTTTTTATCACGACCCTTACAAATGTTTTATGGATCAGGCATTGAGGATATGTACTGGGAATGAAGGAAGGGAGAGAAGGATGGAAGAAGGTGGATGTTTGGGAAATCTATTACCGTGGTCATATAGATGAGCACAGGTTTGGTATCCGTCGCCAAGGCCTGGCATTCACTACGGTGGATGAACATGTTACCACAATCCGTATTAAAGCGAAGTTTTTCAACTTATTGTTAATTCGGCTCTACTTCCCCACGGAATAGCGCTATGTGATCAACGTACCTATGAGCGCTGCTCCCTACTCGAAGTTAAATCGTTTTTGGCGATCTTGGCATCAAGGCGGACAAAGAAGGCGTCTTCTTATACGGCACAATAGTCGAAAAATTCAGCCCAAGCGAGCTTAAGCCGATCGACTTCTCCCGGCCCGAAATATGATTCAGGCACAAGAAAATTCATCAAGCCTCATGGCTGTCGCTTGAACGAAAATCACGCAATCAAATCAATCATTTTATAATAGAAATAAGCCATATCTCCTATGATCGAGAGAGAAGCTGACCGATAGAGGAAATGCTTGAAATTCTATGAAAATATACGGCAACTTGCAGAAGCCTATTCAAGTAGTAGCCATGGAGGTAATCTGATGACCGTTGTCCAGAGCATGGTGAAAGGATTTCTCCACTATGCTAAATGGAAGTCATAATGAAACATCCGGAGTTGGCAAATCGAAGTTTCCAATCGATGTTGATGGCAACTGACGGCTTATCGGCCGAGCTATTCAAATCTGGCAAACTGATGCTGCAAGATCCGGGCTATAGGCTAGTAGTTAGGACTCAACATCCGATCTGAGAGCATTTGATACAAAGAAATGCAGCCCATTACCATGATCACACCGATATTTGGCCTTCTCATTAATGTCCTAGATTTGCCGTGATAATCTAGATCTTTTAGAGCTTTAGAATCCAATTCGTTTCGTTTCGAGTCGCTTGAATTGTACTTGGTACACCCAGTTTACGATATTTTGAACCAAACATAAAGCTTACAGCGAGTAACTTGTTGAGTCACAACCAACATTGCCGAAGAGTCAGCGCTTGACATGGACCTTCCTGCCTTTGTTGAAGGCTCTCTATTGCGTTATTTTCGGTTATGTTTAGAACACTGAGTTTGCAACATCGGGGAGCAAGTATTCAGCAAGATGAATACGCTCCGAGTGGAGTTTTTGGGCCTAAATATTGTTCCACTAGAAAAGGTCACTTTGAGTCGTTTAAAACCTATCCGGTTTAGGGTATGACCTATTTGTATATCCCGAAAGCAGAAACTATTATACTGATTACTTTCCTAAGAGGACAACTAGGTGCCACTCGTGCGTCTGCGGGAACTACAAACAGAACCCATCACGAAGCAGCCTTTTCCCTTGACTGGTAACTATTTTATTATGTCACAAATGTGTTGCCGTTATTTTTATTGTATATATTATTTGCATATTTAACAACAACTAAATTTTATAAGTACGCATTGTGGAGCGTGTGAATAATACCGCTAACGAGTACTCTCTTTATGGTCGTGTGTATGGGTGTTGCCATTGGGCATCAGTTGGCTCATTCAAATTCTTTGATTTTATGCGATTCTTATCGCTATCATCGCATGTCACTTATAACCGTTAGTTTTTCATTATATTTCATTTTAATATGATTACGACATACAGGCAATCATGGCATGCTTATACATAACATATCCTTGCAGGGAAAAGATAGATTAGTGTAAAGGAATTCTAATTCTAGACTAGTATTTAACGGATGACATCTTACTAGTTTACCGTAAACTAAAATAAAACTAGTATTTAAAATACAAATATATACTAGTTCACCATAGACCAGTATAATACTAGTGTTTTTAGGTAATATTTTGAACTAGCCTAAAAAGGTCCTAGTTCATGAACTAGTATTTGCAGACAAATTCATACCATTTCATCGTTTCATATAAAGAAAAGCAGTTTTTTTAGGAAATTATTTTTGTTCTTTGCTGGCGTAGACATGCAAATTAAAGCCGAGTTAGCAAAAATGTGCAATTCCTTCCCTCTCTTCGATGCTTAGCCAAGTATTATATAAGCTGGCAGTTCTTCAATTGATTTTTCCAATGGTGTGGATGTCTTCCTCTTCTCCATCGACGGGTACTTCATTCAAGACTTTCCAAGCTGGAGTGCTTTCATCCGTACGGACCACATGATCTACCCGTAGTAAAGCGAGTAAAATCCAATACGGGTCTTTATACCGGAACGATTTTTATCCGGTCAAGGATTGTCGCTCCCGTAATATTCTCCGAAAGACAATACGGGGAATATTTTACGATTACAACGGCAACTACAACAATAAACAACACTTAGCCAATGTAGTCGCTGTCTCTTGATTCGCTGAACTATGCCAATTTCGACGTATACCTCGTAGAGCTCAGAGTTCCATCGGCTGCGGTATTCGCCGTTGTCAACGCGCAGTGGACGATAAATCTTACGCAAACCCTTTGTCTCATAAACGCTCAACGCGGACTCTTCAGATGTTCTCTTGACATGGCCGAAGAACGCCCTTTAGCAGGGCGGAAATGATGAACTCTACTTGTCAATTGCCTACTCATTTCAAAGAAGCAACTGTTGGCAAGAATGTTTCTGCGTTGGATTCAATGACATTTTGTTGGTGTTAATGCTGGTTCCAACATAGACGAAGTGCTGTTTCTACAACTTGAAAGTTATGAATGTCAGCAGTGACGTGGGAGTCGTGACGTTGTCTTGCTCTCGTTCACTACCAGATCCTACGCTTCGCTTCCTTATTCAGTCTAATTGTACCAGCTGTTTTTTCGACCTTTCCGAAAACCAATAGTTTCGCTTGCAGCTGTACGTAAAGAGCTTGAAAGGCCATCCCACAGTTTCGTTATGCCGAGTTGCTGATAAGTGCTCTTAGTAATCTAACTCAGGAGTGCAAGTCGAGTCAAAGACCATTCGGCTCTCTGTTGTAATTGCAGCTTTGCGGCGTCGAACCTTACTTGTGTTTCTTGAAGGGAGCTCTTTGCTGCACAGAAGCGGATGCATATTGCTGCTACAAAATGGTGGTCTGAGTGGATGTTGTATCCTCCGACCTTACGCACTTCAAGAACACTGCAGACATGTCGTTGGCTTTTCTTATATGGAAATCTACTGCTAGAGGCGACCATATTACGGGCGATATCAATCAGCCTCAACCCATTTGGGTACATTTCATAGTGCAATGATGGGAGTTTCTCATTCTCGGCATTACTAGCATTTTCAACTTGGGGTGGGTGGGTTTCAACTTAGCAAATATTTACTCAGCGAGCCACTTGCTTTAAGCCCGATGCCCGGGCGCAAATAGACTTCAGAGGACCCTGAAACAGTAACTGCATATCCAGAAGCTTGACTACACCCCCAATACACCCCCTTGGTATAAAAATGCAAACTAGTTGGAA